GCATGTAGCGCGCACGCATGCAGCACATGCATGTATCGCGCACGCATGCAGCACATGCATGTATCGCGCACGCATGCAGCACATGCATGTATCGCGCACGCCACATGCATGTATCGCGCACGCATGCAGCACATGCACGTATCATGCACGCATGCAGCACATGCATGTATCATGCACGCATGCAGCACATGCATGTATCATGCACGCATGCAGCACATGCATGTATCATGCACGCATGCACCACATGCATGGATCATGCACGCATGCAGCACATGCATGTCTCGCGCACGCATGCAGCACATGCATGTATCGCGCACGCCACATGCATGTATCGCGCACGCATGCAGCACATGCATGTATCATGCACGCATGCAGCACATGCATGTAACATGCACGCATGCAGCACATGCATGTATCATGCACGCATGCAGCACATGCATGTATCGCGCGCGCATGCAGCACATGCATGTATCGCGCGCGCATGCAGCACATGCATGTATCGCGCGCGCATGCAGCACATGCATGTATCGCGCACGCATGCAGCACATGCATGTATCGCGCACGCATGCAGCACATGCATGTATCGCGCACGCATGCAGCACATGCATGTATCGCGCACGCATGCAGCACATGCATGTATCGCGCACGCCACATGCATGTATCGCGCACGCATGCAGCACATGCATGTATCGCGCACGCATGCAGCACATGCATGTATCATGCACGCATGCAGCACATGCATGTATCATGCACGCATGCAGCACATGCATGTATCATGCACGCATGCACCACATGCATGGATCATGCACGCATGCAGCACATGCATGTCTCGCGCACGCATGCAGCACATGCACGTATCGCGCACGCATGCAGCACATGCATGTATCATGCACGCATGCAGCACATGCATGTATCATGCAGCAAATGCATGTATCATGCATGCATGCAGCAGATCTCTCTCCATTGCTGTCGCCCGTTTCAATTTCCGATCATCAGAAGCATTTCTGTTACTCTTGCAACTGACACGTCCTCCATTCTATTGTCTGATCATCAGAAGCATTTCCGACGAGAAACTAGAAGGCTCAATTCCTGCCTCCATCAGCAACCTCCAAAGCCTTGAATACTTGTGAGTGCTGCTCCTCCCTTGGTAGGTGGACATGTGAAGCACTCACAAGACAACTGGACATTCGATGTGAGGCACTCAGAGAGTGGACATTTGGTGTGAGGCACTCACACCTTGCCAGTGCTCCTCCTTCTTGGGTGTCTGTTTCTGGAGTGCCACAAAAAAGACCTTGTCACCTTGTGAATGCATCAGAGATTTCGAGCTTCTTGTGAGCCTTCTTGTTGCATAAGAGGTTTCACTTTGATGGCCATAGATCGCAAAAGCTTGTAAGTTGGCCTTTCGTCTCTCCTTACAACCCTCCCTCCTTTCTTGATGCATATCTTTATGGAACAGTAGCCTGACCGGCCCGATACCAATGACTGTAAAAACTGCGTTTAATGAGTCTGCTTTTGAGTCGATTCAAAAGCTGAACCCTGTTGAGATAAGCGGTAGTCTTAGGAGCCATAGCTAGGAGAGTCCTAGCTAGGCAAGAGAGTTTAGGCGAAAGAGAGGGGTTGCACTAGCAAGAATGGGGATACAAATAGCAAACCCTAGAAGGGTTGTACTCGCTACAGAGCACCCCACTACAGGCTAGAGCATAATATTCTGACACACCCCCATAGCCAAAGTGGGGTGTAATCAGCAGAGCAAGCAAAGCAGTACAAGCTCAGGGTGGATCACAATGTCACCACACATTCTGAGCACAAGTTTAAGAAGCAATAGTTTAAAGTTCACAATTATGAGCAAAGCTAGTGGTAGTCACAACGGGGAAGTGAGGAGGAGGAGGGCTGGCGAGAGGAGAGTAGATGGGAGGCGACGACTGAAGCTGCAGTCACACGGGCAACAGACGGCTCTGGTGCGACACAGTGGCTACCGGGAGTGAGTGCCCCGGAGTACAGGAGTAACAGGCTCCGCGGCTAAGACGAGCAGCAGGAGCAACGGACCCACAGGCGACGGCGCAACCGGCTCTCTGAGCTACCGGGAGTGAGTGCCCCGGAGTACAGGCGCTGCGTACGACACGACGGCAACCTCCCCTCAACCTCCCCCAACAGTCCCACATCCCTCGACACACACCCGCTGCTACACCGCTAGCTCCACTCCCCCTTCACCCCCCCTTAGTACCACTCCGACGGCTCCAACAGGTCCACCCCCCTCAGCGGCAGCTGCAGCACAGGGAGACGGAGGAGGAGGAGGAGCAGGGAACGGCACACAGAAGCTGCACCCCCATACCCCCCAACCCCAAACCCTAATCCAGGAGAACGGGCAGAAGGAGGGGTGGGGCGCCTTCAGAAGCACGGGGGACAGCGGGGAGGACAGGGGCAGCGAAGAACGGGGCGCCCACGGGCCTGGCACAGCCTCCCGAACCGCGCGCAGGCGGTCCGAGCCGCGCGCGGGACTGGCGCAGCCCGTACGGGCCGCGCGCGTGCCTGGCGCAGCCCGTACGGGCCGCGCGCGGGCCTGGCGCAGCCCGTACGGGCCGCGCGCGGGCCTGGCGCAGCCCGTACGGGCCGCGCGCAGGCCTGGCGCAGCCCGTACGGGCCGCGCGCCGGGTGTACGGGCCGCGCGCAGGCCACGACGGGCGACGGGGGGCGACGCGCGGGTCCCCGTCGCCCGTCGCAGCGCCTCCCGGGGGCGACGTGCCGAGTGACGGGGCAGGAACCCGTCGCGCGCCTCGGGGCACACGGCGGGCAGAGAACCGCCGCGCGCCTCGGGGCGCACGGCGGGCAGAAAACCGCCGCGCGCCTCGGGGCGCACGGCGGGCTGAAAACCCTAGTTTCGACGCCGCGCACCACGGGGCGCGCGGCGGACAGGGAGTAGCAGTAGCAGCGGAAGCAGTGAAGTGGGCCCACAGGCCAGGAACGTTAAGCTCTGATACCATGTCAGAATCCCAGCCACTAACCACCGGGATAAAAGGGCTTGTTTGTGTGGCGGGTGAGTGCGCCCATAACCCCCCAGGCCAACGTGCCTGTAACCCTTCCCTAGGATCAACGGGGATCACCAGCGGGGATCACCAGTGGACCTCTGACACCCCCCCCGCACTGGGATGCCCGAAGTGCATACACCGGGATTCGAACCCGAGACCTTTGCTCTGATACCATGTTGAGATAAGCGGTAGTCTTAGGAGCCATAGCTAGGAGAGTCCTAGCTAGGCAAGAGAGTTTAGGCGAAAGAGAGGGGTTGCACTAGCAAGAATGGGGATACAAATAGCAAACCCTAGAAGGGTTGTACTCGCTACAGAGCACCCCACTACAGGCTAGAGCATAATATTCTGACAAACCCTCCCTCCTTCCTCGAGTGCAGATCTTTATGGAACAATAGCCTGACTTTTTAGACGTCTCAAAACTTGGTTCTCCTCACAATACAACCTTCCTTCCTTCCTCGAGTGCAGATCTTTATGGAACAGTAGCCTGACCGGCCCGATACCAAGCACTATCGGCAACCTTCCAAAGCTGACCGACTTGTGAGTTCCTCCAACAGACGGGCTCTGCATGACCCGTAATCTAGCCTCATCTCTTTTGTCCTAACACAACTTGCAAAATTATCATATGTAGAACCACCTCCAAGAGGGCATGAGGAAGTTGGTTCCACACATACTTATTAAATGTAAATGTAGCACCAATTGTTTTCCTGAGTAGTATCACACCGAGTTAAGCTGAGCTGGTGCCACCGAGTGAACCTGAGTTGGTGCACACTCGTCCCTTACACGACCCAAGCCAAGCAGAGCCAAGCCTAGTGCCAGATTAATTCTGAATCCGAGTCCCACTATGAATGCGTGCCCCTCAAGTGTTGCATGCTTCTGTATGCATGCCTCAGTATGCATGTCTCTGTATGCATGCCTCTGTATGCATGCCTCTCTATGCATGCCTCAGTATGCATGTCTCTGTATGCATGCCTCTGTATGCATGCCTCTGTATGCATGCCTCTGTATGCATGCCTCTGTATGCATGCCTCTGAATGCATGTCTCTGTATGCATGCCTCTGTATGCATGCCTCTCTATGCATGCTTCTGTATGCATGCCTCTGTATGCATGCCTCTGTATGCATGCCTCTCTATGCATGCTTCTGTATGCATGCCTCTGTATGCATGCCTCTGTATGCATGCCTCTGTATGCATGCCTCTGTATGCATGCCTCTGTATGCATGCCTCTGTATGCATGCCTCTGTATGCATGCCTCTGTATGCATGCCTCTGTATGCATGCCTCTGTATGCATGCCTCTGTATGCATGCCTCTGTATGCATGCCTCTGTATGCATGCCTCTGTATGCATGCCTCTGTATGCATGCCTCTGTATGCATGCCTCTGTATGCATGCCTCTGTATGCATGCCTCTGTATGCATGCCTCTGTATGCATGCCTCTGTATGCATGCCTCTGTATGCATGCCTCTGTATGCATGCCTCTGTATGCATGCCTCTGTATGCATGCCTCTGTATGCATGCCTCTGTATGCATGCCTCTGTATGCATGCCTCTGTATGCATGCCTCTGTATGCATGCCTCTGTATGCATGCCTCTGTATGCATGCCTCTGTATGCATGCCTCTGTATGCATGCCTCTGTATGCATGCCTCTGTATGCATGCCTCTGTATGCATGCCTCTGTATGCATGCCTCTGTATGCATGCCTCTGTATGCATGCCTCTGTATGCATGCCTCTGTATGCATGCCTCTGTATGCATGCCTCTGTATGCATGCCTCTGTATGCATGCCTCTGTATGCATGCCTCTGTATGCATGCCTCTGTATGCATGCCTCTGTATGCATGCCTCTGTATGCATGCCTCTGTATGCATGCCTCTGTATGCATGCCTCTGTATGCATGCCTCTGTATGCATGCCTCTGTATGCATGCCTTCAGTTCTCATTTGCGATCTATTCTTGCCCTCATTTGTTCATTTGCCATCTATGCTTGCCGTCCGTCTGTGCTCATGTGCTCATCAGAGAGCTTTGTTACAACAGCTTAACTGGCACGATCCCTGCATCCATCGGCAATCTCATAAGCCTCGATTACTTGTTAGTGCCACCGATCAGATAGTGCTGTTCCTCATTTGCTCCACATGTGGACCCCAGTCAGAGCACGTATGCTTCTTGGCAGCAGCATACATGCATGATACACTAAGCCTCCAGCCCGATCTGCATCAACCTGTCTGTGCTTCGAAGCTTGATTGAGCTGTGATCTTAGCTCGACATACACTGAGTGCTGTACTGTTTTAAGCTTAAAATCAGGTCCTTAGCGGGCGTTTCCAAGTTGGGACACAATGAAAAGTTCATTCACATGTGACTCTATCTTAGTCCAACATCGAGCAGCAAGGATGTAGGACTGAGCTTTCTGCTGAAAGGTCTGCCTGAGGGCATTGCTCCTTCCAGGCGCCAAGTCCTCCCTGCTCCTTTGCTGCTACGAATGTTGCTACAGCATGGTAGATAGGAGATGTCGTTCCTACTCACAAACCCCTCTCTGGTCCTTTACTTAACGTTTTGCACCTCACTTCCGAGATACAGGTGGTTGATTGGAAACAATTTGACGGGCTCCATACCTGCAACGTTATCCAGCCTTGTGCTTTTGACCAACTTGTGAGTGATATATCACGACAGCTGTAAAAGTTTTACTACATTCCTTCGGCTCATGTCTTAACCTCTCATTCCCTTTGTGGTACCTCCCTCAACCGTCATAATGGTATTGATTATTCTTCCACTATTGGAGTTCGTCATGTGATGTGTGTGATTATGCTTTGTTCTGTGATATGAGGGGGTGTGATGGGATGGGGGTCCGATGTGATGCAATGTGATGAAACGGGATGCGATGTGATGTGACGTGACATGGCACGACGCGGCGTGATGTGACGTGATGTGATGTGATGTGATGTGATGTGATGTGATGTGATGTGATGTGATGTGATGTGATGTGATGTGATGTGATGTGATGTGGTGTGATGTGATGTGATGTGATCCAATGTGACATTATTCCGCACCCCTTTGCATTCTCCTCAACAGCACCCACCAGCAATGCAAGCCCTTGTCTTTCCGCGACGGTGTTTCCAGTACACTCATCTGTCTCGTTGATCTTCAAACCCTACTGGGATGCATCTTGAATCTCTCTGGGATGCACTCTTCTTGTCATATCCTGCACTAGGGATGAGCACAAAAACGAACACGTTCCAGGCGAACCGAACAGGTTTGTTTTTTGGGCAAAAAACGTTTGTAACGAACGTATTCGATGTTCGTTTTCATCAGATGGCCGAGCGCGTGTTCGACGCGGGGCATCGACAAACACTATTATTGTGTTCGTCGACGAATTGGCCCGCGACCAATTTTAGGGTCGCGACCTACCCGCCAGGCCCCTAACGCCCACTACCGCCCTTTCTTAGGAATCCTAGGACCAGCTAAACTTCATCTTAGAATCGTGTAGGTTACATTACCTTTCTCGAGAATGGCGAAACCTTGAAGAACTTGCGGTTTAGGGTTGGAGCATGCGTTTAGGGATCATGTGGGAGGGTCAAAGTCCCTGTCTGCCATGTGTGACTATAATGAGACTTGTACAAGGGCGAACACGAACGTGTTTGTCTCGAACACGTCCGTGTTCGCATTGGCCCGCAAGATGTTCGCCTTCACAGGCAAACATCGAACAAACGTTTTTGCAAAGGGTGTTCGGCGAACCGAACAGTGTTCAGTTCGTCGAACGGCTATGTTCGTGCTGGGGCGAACGCGAACATGTTCGTGGTCGTCCCTATCCTGCACTGCCACAGCCATATCCTTGTTGCACGGTGAGTGAGTGAGGAGGCAATGAAGCTTAACCGCCTAAAGCGACGATGAGCGACCATGAGTGACCATGAGTGACCATGAGTGACCATGATTGACCATGAGTGACCATGATTGACCATGAGCGACCATGAGTGACTATGGGCGATCATGAATCACAGTGTCACTGTTCTTCTCTCGTTGTGCGTGTAGGCATACCTTATGCATACCTCATGCACGCTTCATGCACGCCTTGTGATGCTTGTGCACGCCTTGTGATGCTTGTGCGCGCCTTGTGATGCTTGTGCATGCATAGTGGCTACTGCATGCATGCCTTGCGCATTCGTGTGTGTTCATGTCTTATGCATGGTCTATGCACTCCCCGCCCGCATGGCACTCATCTCTCTTTCTCTCTCTCGGCCACCAGAAACCTCGGCTACAACGACTTCACAGGCACCATTCCCGCCTTTCTTGGCAACCTCCCAAAGCTTTCCCACATGTGAGTGACGCTGCTTGTATTTGGGTTGACATGTGGCCGATATCGCATCCACACCACATGGGACGTGACCTGCATTACAACATCACCACATGCCATATAAACGTGACATCCACACCACATGCAATGGGACCCGCATCACATCCACACCACATGCAATGGGACCCGCATCACATCCACACCACATGCAATGGGACCCGCATCACATCCACACCACATGCAATGGGACCCGCATCACATCCACACCACATGCAATGGGACCCGCATCACATCCACACCACATGCTTAATCTCGCTCCCGCGCGGTACAAACCCCTCTGTGAACAACAAGTGCCACCACCACTGACGCCCTCACATGCTTCTCCTTCAACCATCCACTGTGGCCCCTTAAATTCGCTGCTATGCTATCCACTGTCTACTCCGCTCATCACACTTTTCTCCCTTGGAAAGCAGATACCTACATGGGAACAACCTGACTGGCTCGATACCAGCCTCACTGGGCAAACTTTCTAATCTTGGAAATCTGTGAGTCTCTTGACAAATGTGAACCTCCTGACTTGGACTAAATAGGGCACCTGCCATTTTTATTGCTCCTAAAGCTTACAGCAACCCTATTATACATGAGCACAAGGTCAAACACCTGGAACAACATGTTTGGGGCGAACATGTTTGGTGTTTGCCCAAATATGTTTTCGGTTCGCCGTGGCTAGCCGTGCCGCGCAGAACACAAACATGTCTGTGTTTGACATCCCTTGTGTTCGTCAGAAAAGTCCCTCGACCCTTTGTTTAGGTCGACGAGATTGGGCACACTAGTCGAGCTCATTTTTGAGCTCGACTTTTGCCCAACTCCTGTCTGACAGCCAAGACTACAAGCTCCAGCAGCTGGCATACCAAACTCCAAACTCCAAACTCCAAACTCCGAACTCCAAACTCCAAACTCCAAACTCCAAACTCCAAACTCCAAACTCCAAACTCCAAACTCCGAACTCCAAACTCCAAGCTCCAAACTCCAAATGAAATAGTTTGGCAGAACCAAACTCCACTCTTTGGTGTTTCATTTCCTTCACTCCCAAACGTCCACCAGGTTTTGCCACACCACCCTGGACGCCGAAATCCACCATCCCTCAACCTTGTGACTATAATGAGGGCTGCCTACAGGCGAACACTAACATGTTCGCCCCAAACATGTTTGGGCTCGGTTATTTGCGAACGCCGACCAAACACCTCCTTCAACGGTTTGTGTTCGGCCGAACGCAAACATGTCCGGTTTGCCAGCCAAACACGAGTGTTCGAGGCAAGGTGACACGCAGGAACATGTTCGAGGCAAGGTGACACGCAGGAACATGTTCGAGGCAAGGTGACACGCGTTGGTTTTTGAGAAATCTAAAAAACGAACATGTTTGTATTCGATTTTTTCTCATCCCTAAACCCCACTATCCCTCTGGTTCACATGCCCTCCCCAGACACAAACACACACGCACACCGCACACATGCACGCACACCGCACACATGCACGCACACGGACGGACAGACTTGTTCAGACTAGCTGCAATTAGGTCGGGCCCGCCCCGGGCCGAAGGATCAAGACCCCGGCTGGAGTTCCCCCAGGGGTACCCGGGCCAAAAAGGGCCCGGGCGGGCTGAGTATGGCCCGTCCAGGGCTGATGCCAACTGTGGACAGGGGGCGGCTTTTGAGTCGACTCAAAAGTCACCTGAGTATGGCCCGACCAGGGCTGATGCCAACTGTGGACAGGGGGCAGCTTTTGAGTCGACTCAAAAGTCACCTGAGTATGGCCCGACCAGGGCTGATGCCAACTGTGGACAGGGGGCGGCTTTTGAGTCGACTCAAAAGTCACCTGAGTATGGCCCGACCAATGCTGATGCCAACTGTGGACAGGGGGCAATGCCGATTGTGGCCGCAGTTTGTTGTGAATGAGTGTGGTGGAGTATAGACAGGTCATGGTGAGCATAACTTAAAAAGAGGGAAGTGCAGATGCTGAAAGTTGAACCCTCAACCTCTTTGACTAAAGGTGAGAAACTACTCATTGGGACATACTTGGTGCACAACACACCCCACGTACACGTGTAGTGCAGTATGTTGTCTCTGTGCTCGACAATTGTGTGCCCTCCGTTTCTTTCCTTTGCAGACTCCTTTTCTTCAACTTTCTGACCGGCTCAATTCCTGAGTCGCTCTTCAATCTCGTGAAACTTAGCACGCTGTAAGTGCAGTGCAGCAAAATCCTTCTTTGCTTCCCAGCCAGGTGAGCCGTAGCCGAACCATGCACATGCATTTCAGCAATTTCTGGCTGCCTCAGAAGGCAATGCTGAAAGTATGGGGTCCATCTTAGCATGGACCTTCACGCCTTGAGATGACCATGTTTTGTTTCAAATGAAGTTTTGACTTCCTCTTCATTCTGAAGCTGCATACTGATGCTCGCTCGCAACCGAAACCTGTCCTTTACTCTCCCTTTATTGCACCCTTTTTTCCACAAATTGCAGCAGTCTCCTTGGGAACAGATTAACTGGCTCAATTCATTCGAAAATAGGCAACCTTGCAGCGCTGACGACCTTGTGAGCTTCTCCACGAGACGGGCTAGATGGCTCCTGCATAGATCCCCCCACCCACCCACCCACCTTCAACATTGGAACAAATCAGCTTCTCTGAAAAATCGCGTGAAACTCGTACATTTTTTCGTTATTTTTTCCTGAGATGTTTGATTGACATGTGCTAAGGGCCAAGTCAGCCCACTGGCAACAAGACAGGTATAACTGGACTCGGCCTGTGTAGGGGCCAGAGGTAGCAAGCTCTCTAAGAGTGGTTAGCATGTGTTGCTAGAAAAAGAAGGTGTGATGCATGCATGCTGCTGCGTTGGTGTGGATCCATACGGCCTATTGGTTAGTAAAATCTTTGTCAAACAAAGTAGTTTAACAAAGTAGTGATGAAGTTAAATCTAGGCATGCACAGGTAGTGACATGCAGGAAAGAGTTAAGCACGGTCTTAAAACAGGTTTTGGATTTTGGAAATTTCGCATCCTTCCCAAGTTGTTTAGTATAATGATTGTGCTATGTCACCTTTGAGAATCTGCTAAAATAAAATTGCATCTCTTGACCCTCGCCATATTGTCCATTCTACTAGTGTATACACAACAATCATTCGTCTCACCACACGCGCGCCTTCCGTCCTTGTACTACCACGATCCATGGAATGTGAGACAGGCAGCTTGGCTACAACAACTTGACTGGCACCATTCCTGAGTCCCTCTTCGAGCTCACAAACCTCAACAACTTGTGAGTGCATTACCCCACTTGTGAGTGCATTACCCCACTTGTGAGTGCATTACCCCACTTGTGAGTGCATTACCCCACTTGTGAGTGCATTACCCCACTTGTGAGTGCATTACCCCACTTGTGAGTGCATTACCCCACTTGTGAGTGCATTACCCCACTTGTGAGTGCATTACCCCACTTGTGAGTGCATTACCCCACTTGTGAGTGCATTACCCCACTTGTGAGTGCATTACCCCACTTGTGAATGCATTACCCCACTTGTGAGTGCATTACCCCACTTGTGAGTGCATAACCCCACTTGTGAGTGCATTACCCCACTTGTGAGTGCATTACCCCACTTGTGAGTGCATTACCCCACTTGTGAGTGCATTACCCCTTGGTTTCACTTGAGAGGCAGGAGGAACATTGTTGATCGCTTCTGGAGTTGATTGTTGAGATGATGCCTCAAAAGTTGATGTTTCCGGCTCAATGTCCATGCATCCAGGATTTGCAAATGTGCTTTAGCTGCGCTTGGTCTTGGGTGCCTCCTATGCAATGTGAACTTCTCACCTCGGCGCTTGGTCGTGGGTGACTCCTCTGCGCTCGGTCTTGGGTGCACTTGGGAGGTCCTCTGCAAATGTGAACACCCTCCATGCACTCCTCTTACCCGGCTATCCTAAAGCTACTGTCCGTACTTTTAATGTCTGCCCATACAAAGCAAGTAGAAGAGGTACAGAAAGAATGGGATCTATATGCAACGCACACCTGGGATGGGACTGGCGTCTAAAAATGCTAAAAAAATGTAATTCCCAAACACCTGGTACTGGGAAGATGCTCTTCCTTTGAGACGTCCCAAATGTAATTCCCAAACGCCTGGTACTGGGAAGATGCTCTTCCTTTAAGACGTCTCAAATGTGATTCCCAAACACCTGGTACTGGGAAGATGCTCTTCCTTTGAGTCGTCTCAAATGTAATTCCCAAACACCTGGTACTGGGAAGATGCTCTTCCTTTGAGACGTCTCAAATGTAATTCCCAAACACCTGGTACTGGGAAGATGCACTTCCTTTGAGTCGTCTCAAATGTGATTCCCACCTGGTACTGGGAAGATGCTCTTCCTTTGAGACGTCTCAAATGCGATTCCCAAACACCTGGTACTGGGAAGATGCTCTTCCTTTGAGACGTCTCAAATGTAATTCCCAAACACCTGGTACTGGGAAGATGCTGTTCCTTCAAGACGTCTCAAATGTGATTCCCAGGCACCTGGGACTGGGAACTTGTTCTTCCACGATCTTTTGGCTCTTGCAACGCCGTCTGGAGGCATCTCAGCCAGACTGATGCTAAGGAAGGAAGCAACTTTGTTCTGGCCATTCCTCCTCTTTTTACATCCGCGTTACAGATTGCTATGGAGAAACGAACTGACTGGCTCCATACCTGCAAGTATAGGCAACCTTGTATTCCTGAATGGGTTGTAAGTCCTCTGATTGGATGAACGGCGAGACTCTTTTTTGTGAGCCTCATGATCCCATCTGCATACATCGCTTCATTCTAGTGAATAATCAGTATAATTTGTTACTCAGATCAATTTTTTCATTGCATTTGCTTGATCCTCCTAGTAGTCAAACGTGTAAAATTCCATTTCAACACATTGAAATGGTCACACAGACTCTTCTTTACTGTGTATGTGTTTGTGTGTATGCATGTGTGATGAAGTGATTCTTTTTTAGCCTATGCTCCTAATGCTCGTGCTAGAACAATGTTCCTGTGATAGATTTGTCACTGCAACTTTCTTGTAAAAACATGTCTCATTTAATTTCCAGAAATTCCCTGCTGCTGTACCTCACTCACCTCACCAGGTACCTTGCTCTTGCCAGCCTGTCCTGTGCTTCCCCTGCTGGCACCCTCCGTCCCCCCCACCCACACCTCCGTGCAGTGGATTATTTACAGCACATTTCTTGTAAGAACTTTCCTGCTGCTGTTCCCTTCACCTCACCAGGTACCTTGGTCCCAACAACCTCACTGGGAGCATCCCAGAATCCATTGGCAACCTCTTGCAGCTCACAATCTTGTAAGCAATCAGAGTTATAAGCACAGATTTTGAGGCGCTCAAAGCCCAGCTTTCCCTGCGGCATATCAGAAACTTTGCTTTGATGACTTTTGAGGCGCCTCAGAAGGCAACCTCTTGCAGCTCACGACTTTGTGAGCAATCAGAGCTGTAAGCACAGCGAATGTGCATTGCGTGTGCTCGTTGCCCTATGAGTGCCATATGAACCGAACCACTGCAGGAAGAACTGTACCTGTTTTGTGGCTATGTCATAAGTTTGATCGAGTCTATGGCATGACCTCTCAGGCTATGGCTTGGGTTTTGAGGCTATGGCATGATCTCTTAGGCTATGGCATGAGGTATGAGGGTTTCACATGCATCATGCAGCTACTGCATGCGCCAGCGGCAACTTGAGTTCCAACTTTGAACCTCGATCTCATATCACAGCTTCGGTTCGACCAGGTCGGACGGTTCGACCCAATTTGATGCAATCAGATTCAGGTTTGGTACTTGCTCGTGCTGCTCAAGAATGCTTGAGAGACAATGCTCTACATATACTCGACTATGTTTGTGAGGAGTCTACGTATGCTCGACAATGGTTTGAGTCAAGCCTACGTATCCAACTATTCTCAACAAACATTGCTCCCTATCAGGAACGTGCGAAACTCCAATCTGAGCGGCCACCTCCCTCCGACACTGGGCAGGATTGCCAAACTCAAAGAACTGTAAGACACTCCGGAATCGCCCACATACTCAGTTCGGCTTTCCCTCAATTGCCGTAAACCAATCCTGTGAAGAGCATCGGCTGTCGCTACTAAGGAGCACCACACATGATTTCTTGCTGATGTTTCATCTGGTGAACCATCCCTTCCCCTCCCCCCCCCCCCCAACCTTTTTCCGTGTTCTGCAATGGTCTTCTTTGAACCTCCTTCCACACGTCCAGGAATCTGACTGGAACACGTGTCACTTGCCCACCGAACAACACCCCATGTGTGGTTCAGCAGTCTTCTCAAACCGCTTTTTGCATCATGTGCCCCTCCTTCTGCACTACTTGCATCAAGCCAGCACCACGTGAGCATAACAAACGGGAAAACATGCACGCACGTATGCACACACATACATGCAGACACACACGCACACACACACTCACACGCACGCACGCATGCACGCGCGCACACACACACACACACACACACACGCGCGCGCGCGCGCATGCACACGCACTCGCACACACACACACAGGCACACACAAACATACACAGGCACGCACACATGCACACCTACAAGCATGCACACACGCACCCACCCACCATCCTCCTCCACCACCACCTCCTCCCTCCCTTCCATCCTACACACAAATATTTGTTGTGATATGGCTATTCTACTGTACACCTATCAGGTCAGCTGCACATGTTTGCCAAATCTCTGTCTGTGTCACAAAAATTTCAGAAACATACACGATCTGCGCAACCTCACCATATATTTGTGAATAGTCTCATACGCATGTACGTATGTTGTTGCAGTGCGTATATACGATATGTCATTAAGGATAACGACACAATTCTTTCCTTTTTACCTACCTACACATATTCCCCCCTCCCCTCTCCTCCTCCCCACGCCCCTCCCTTCCCCACCTCCAGCACCCCCCTCCCCACCCCCAACGCCCCCATCCCCACCTCGAGCACCCCCCTCTCCAGCGTCCATCTCCCCACTCACAGCCCCCTCCACAATGGGCCCATCCTCCTCCTCTTTCAGCCCTCCTCTCTCGCCTCAAGCTTCTCCCTCCCAGTCGGGAAGCAGTCTCTCTGTGGGAGCCATTGCCGGCATTGCTGTGGCTGCTGTGATGCTGCTGATCATTGGCGTGCTGCTGTGGTGGTGGAGAGGTCACAAGAAGCGAGCAGCACGTGCAGCAAGTAGGGCGTCCATACACCCTCTAAACCCGAAACCCTGAATTTGAAGCCCTAGACTTGACCCGGAAGTCTGGATGCTCCTCCTCCTCCTTCGGCTCTTCTCTCGCCCTTGGTCCCACCTGTTTCTCATCAAGGCATGAGCATCGACAAGATTGGGTTGGGCTGATTTTGTGAGGCACCTCAAAAAGTGGGCGCCCGTCACCTCTTTTTCTTCACCCCACACTATCACAGGCCGGGCTGCAAGCATGACAGGTGCCCAATGCACCGAGTACACTCTAGAGGAAGTCCTCAAAGCCACCAGCAACTGGTCCTCTGCCAACCAGCTTGGCTCGGGTGCCTTTGGTGACGTGTACAAGGGCGTGTGTCCCCACGATGGCACCACCCTGTGGGCTGTCAAGCGAGCCAAACTTATTGACGTGGATTTCCACAAAGAGGTGGGTCCGACTGAGTCTGCTCGTTTCTATTTCTGAGGTTCCCCAAGAATTGTTTCCAGTGCCTTTGGCTGTCAAGCAAGCCAAGCTGATTGCCATGATAGCTTCAAGGCAGCTTCTAAGTCATTCCACCTTGGCATGCCTCTTCCATTCCACCTTGGCATGCCTCTTCCATTCCACCTTGGCATGCCTCTTCCATTCCACCTTGGCATGCCTCTTCCATTCCACCTTGGCATGCCTCTTCCATTCCACCTTGGCATGCCTCTTCCATTTCACCTTGGCGTGCCTCTTCCATTCCACCTTGGCATGCCTCTTCCATTCCACCTCGGCATGCCTCTTCCATACCACCTTGGCATGCCTCTTCCATTCCACCTTGGCATGCCTCTTCCATTCCAGTAATCCTTGTAAAAGCTTTTTGTTACACCTTTTTCTCGTTCGGTCCATCCCATTCTGATGTGTTCCTGTCCATTTTTTTCCCCTTCTCCATTGTTTCTTGCAGGTGCAACAAATGGCCGACAAGAACCATCCCAACATCGTGCGGCTGCTTGGGTTTGCTGTTGGAGGGGACATGAGGACACGTCCAGAGCAGATCCTGATCTACGAGTTTGTTTCCAATGGTGACCTTGATCATTATATCAAGAAGGGTACGCACCACGTATTCATCTGAAACCATTCTTAATCTCTTGATTACACTGTATTCATGAAGATCCCAACAGTGACCTTTACTAGTAGTGGTGTAGCAAGAAGGTTACGCGCGTACCACTTTTTTTTTTTTTTCTTCTTCTGCTAACTAGTATTGGGCACCCTGCTGCGTCTCCCAACGTTTGTCACTCATGTCTCTCACTCTCATGTTCTCTCACGTTCCTTCCTCGTTTCTCACGTTCTCTGCATGTGTGCAAAGGCATCCTTCACTCTTGCCTTCCAGCACTTCCTTCTCTCATGTTCCATCACTCTCTTGTTCTGCCACTCCCTCGCTCTCTGCATGTGTGCAGAGGCGTCCTTCACTCTCACCTTCCAGCAGCGGCTGGACATCCTCATTGGTGCGGCACGTGGCTTTGAGTACCTCCACAGCTTTGGCCTTGTGCATCGCGACATCAAACCTGCCAACATCCTCCTTGGGGATAAAATGCAGGCAAGCAAGAGTGTTGAGGCGAACATAGTGAAGTTGTCATGTGGAAGATGTCGATGAAATCGACGCAAAGAATATTATTGATAAATTCAAACAAATACTGGATTAGTATTTTTTAAAGTTGTAGGAAACCTGCAGATTAATGCATGTGTTTCAACTACGCTACGGGTGAGCATTGAATTGATAAAACTTAGGCAGCATCAGGATGAAACAAGTATGCCATAGGTACTATGTTCGTACAATACATTATCAGGATGAAACTCGGGATACTGAAAGAACTCAAAATAGATGAGGGAAATATCAAAGAACACAGAATTGCATATACAGCTCTATTTTTGTTCTCAGTCATGCTTCTTTGTCCCTCTTTCGATCATCGTACCATCCGACAGGCCAAGATTGCTGACTTTGGGCTGTTGAAGGCGGGAGAGGGCACCGCTGTCCGCACAACTCGGGTCATGGGGACACCGGGCTATGTGGATCCCATCTACACGCGCACGTCCAAGGCCACCACTGCCACTGATGTGTACAGGTGAGGTACTTTTCTGGCACCCCACAGAGCAACCCTTGCAAGCCACAGGTGCCTGTTTTTTTTTTTTTTTTTTCTCTCTCTCGGTCAGGATAATGAATGCGTCACCTACATCTAAACTCATTAATCCTGCAGTTCTGAAGCACCTCAAAAGTGCCTGACAGTGCTTTTGCGACTCAAAGCTCTCACCCTCACCAGTTCGACATCCCCGTGTGATGCTCCAAATATCTCCCTTGAACACCCACCTCTCTGCTGCTCCGTTGTGCTCATGCTCGTGGTTGAATGATCGGTGTGATGCTCATTGGCTGTAGACACTCTTATCTGAGTCGTTCTTTAGAATTCTCATGTCTGAACCAGTGATGGAAAGTGCAGAGCGCCACCCCTGATGCTGTCATCCTTCCTTCCCTCTGTGCCATCCTTCCCCCCTCCTCTTCTTTGTGTGCAGCTTCGGTGTTCTCATGCTTGTGGTGCTTACTGGCTGTAGGCCCCACTCTGGTGATGGTGACAAGAATGGGCACATTCTGCGATGGGTAGGTGCTGCTGCTGCTGCTTTGTGTGCAGCACACGAGGTACAGAGCATGTGAGGTATGCAGCACACAAGGTACAGAGCATGAGAGGTATGCAGCACACAAGGTACAGAGCATGTGAGGTATGCAGCACACAAGGTACAGAGCATGTGAGGTATGCAGCACACAAGGTACAGAGCATGTGAGGTATGCAGCACACAAGGTACAGAGCATGTGATGTGAGGTATGCAGCACACAAGGTACAGAGCATGTGAGGTATGCAGCACACAAGGTACAGAGCATGTGATGTGAGGTATGCAGCACACAAGGTACAGAGCATGTGAGGTATGCAGCACCTAAGTTACCTTGCTCTGCTGATGGTCGCATTCTTCGACACGTGAGGTTCCTGCTGCTGCCCTGCGTCTGCAAAGGAGAGTGCTTTCAGGTAGATCTCTGGCCGAATGCTAAGGTGGGTACGTGCTGCTGCTTTGTGTGCTGCAGCGGTCGCTGTTACATGGCACACGTGAGACACGTGAGACGTGTGTCATGTAACGATGGCATGATGGTGAGATGGCATGATGGTGAGATGGCATGATGGTGAGATGGCATGATGGTGAGATGGCATGATGGTGAGATGTCAGGGTGGACCGATGGCACATGGGCATGTGTGACAGGACAGGGCAATGGTGCAGCTGAGCTGCTGTGCCTAATTATCAAGAACAACTCTCCCCAGAAGGCACAGCTGCTCAGAAATGTTCCCATCCCCACCCACCTTGTTGAAACAATCAAGTGTAGGCATGCCTCTTATAACCTCGTGTCGTCCACCAACCTCTTTTGCATGATGGCGTGATGGCAGGATAGCATAATGGCGTGATGGCGTGACGGCGTGATAGCATAATGGCATGATGGCATGATGGCATGATGGCATGATGGCATGATGGCATGATGGCATGATGGCATGATGGCATGATGGCATGATGGCATGATGGCATGATGGCATGATGGCATGATGGCATGATGGCATGATGGCATGATGGCATGATGGCATGATGGCATGATGGCATGATGGCATGATGGCATGATGGCATGATGGCATGATGGCATGATGGCATGATGGCATGATGGCATGATGGCATGATGGCATGATGGCATGATGGCATGATGGCATGATGGCATGATGGCATGATGGCATGATGGCATGATGGCATGATGGCATGATGGCATGATGGCATGATGGCATGATGGCATGATGGCATGATGGCATGATGGCATGATGGCATGATGGCATGATGGCATGATGGCATGATGGCATGATGGCATGATGGCATGATGGCATGATGGCATGATGGCATGATGGCATGATGGCATGATGGCATGATGGCATGATGGCATGATGGCATGATGGCATGATGGCATGATGGCATGATGGCATGATGGCATGATGGCATGATGGCATGATGGCATGATGGCATGATGGCATGATGGCATGATGGCATGATGGCATGATGGCATGATGGCATGATGGCATGATGGCATGATGGCATGATGGCATGATGGCATGATGGCATGATGGCATGATGGCATGATGGCATGATGGCATGATGGCATGATGGCATGATGGCATGATGGCATGATGGCATGATGGCATGATGGCATGATGGCATGATGGCATGATGGCATGATGGCATGATGGCATGATGGCATGATGGCATGATGGCATGATGGCATGATGGCATGATGGCATGATGGCATGATGGCATGATGGCATGATGGCATGATGGCATGATGGCATGATGGCATGATGGCATGATGGCATGATGGCGTGACTTCTCAGAAGTGTCCCTGTCCCCACTGTGATGGCATGATGCCTCCTTGACCAATCAGTTAGGTGTAGCCATGCCTCATTTACCCTCCCGTCGTTCAGCAACCTCTTTTGCTGACTATGCACGTGTGCTCCCTCTTGTTGTTCATTAATATCCGTCAGGTGGAGGATAGCATTTCCTCCAAAAAAAGTGACTCCCTCAAGGACGTGAGCATGGACGCCCCGGATGATGCTGTGCTGCGCCTGGCCCAGCTGGCTCTGCGCTGCACTGTGCAGCGCACTGCAAGCCGGCCCAGCATGGCAGACATTGCCAACGAGCTGCAGGGAATCAGGCACGAGGTGGTGGGCAAGGAGGAGCTGGGTGCTGCAGTCAGGGTGGATGAACAAGCACGGGAGATGCGACGTGGGACGTCGTATGGGAATAACTTGGCTGCAATGTTGGAAGCTATTAGGAACATGGATGAGGACAAATAAATTTCATCCTAGGTAACTTGTTTACACGACGTGTAACCAATAGTTTTTTTTTTCTTAGTCAGGGACTACCATATCAGAACAGAAGATCCTTGCCCACGCCTTGACATTTCAGAATTCGTAATTTTGCACCTTGTACATTCAGGATACCGTAGCCCGGGGGTAGGCAAAGGTGCACCACCAACAGTTGGCTAGAATCATCTACACTACAGCCTATGCTACAAGCAGTTTATATAACATGTATATATTCATTTACACATTTACACGAACGAGGAGCCAAACAATGAGGATGCGTGCTTGGATGATTTATCTGGGGACAACAGTGACCAGGCCAGGAACCAGAGAGTGTGGAGTCGGAGGAATCTGCAGTGAGTGGCAGCCAGGAGGACCACCAGGATGACGGAGCGCAGGTGGAGGTGGAAGCCATAAGAAACATGGGGAAATCAAATTATGTTTACCATCCTATCATAACTTCAGTTTACTATAAACTCCCTCGAATCGTACCATATTTGGGAGAACAGTCTGATAGTTAGTTGCTAGGGATGATGAACACAACATGAAATGGGAGTTGTTACGCACGATAATTTATTCGATAACTCATCACGTGCGACCAGAACCAAAGGAGCTATACTCAATCCCTTGGAGTCCTGTACTGGTGGACCCTTCATCACTTGGAGCTAAACTCAATCTCTTGGAGTCCATGCTCTGTATCATTCGCAGCTCCTCAGCCAAGTTTCTGGGAAAAGACGATTTTTGAGTCGACTCCAAAATTGACGCGTTATCACTTGGAGCTATACTCAGTCTCTTGGAGGCCATGTTCCTAATCGCTCGCAGCTCCGCAGCCAAGTCACTGGGAAAAGACGTCCCGACGGTCATCTCCTCTGCTTGCGCATCCACTTTGACCGCTGCACTGAGCTCCTCCTTCCCCACCACCTCGTGCCTGATTCCCTGCAGCTCGTTGGCAATGTCTGCCATGCTGGGCCCGCTTGCAGTGCGCTGCACAGTGCAGCGCAGAGCCAGCTGGGCCAGGCGCAGCGCAACATCATCCGGGGCGTCCATGCCCAGATCCTTGAGGAAGGGAGCGGTGTCTGAGGAGATGCACGCTTTCACCTGATTGGTGGATATGGGCATGCACGCTGTCACCTGATTGGTGGACATGGGCATGCACGCTCCCGGATCGTCGGGGGAAATGCAGTCTTGCGCCTGGAGATTGAACAGCAAGAGGGAACACATACAAGCAAAGGCGGCTTGTTAGACAAAAGAAAAGTGCACCACGTGCTGCGAGGCACTGCATCATCTGAGGCGCCCATGCTGAGGAAAGGCACGCCTCCACCTGACGGATGGAAAAAGGCGGGGAGGGGAAGAGGGCAAAAGTTCTCTAGACAGCTCATTGAGGGCAAGAGGCCGAGGGGGGGTGGGGTGTCACATGCATTGATCCGCCTGTAGGACATATGTGAGTGTGAGGATACGTGGGTGCAAGAAGCATGCTGAGGTGGTTTGAGAAGGGTTGGGGAGTCGGTGGAAGGAGGTCTTTCACAAAAAGGGAACACAGAAAGGCAAGGATTAGTTACAGGGGCAAGAGATACAGCTGCGAGTTGGGATTGGAAGAACATCACGCTGTGTGCCTGGGGAGCTGTGTGGGCTATTTTTGGTGAGTCAGTTGAGGGGGAACTCTCACCCATTGCAGAATGTGACCTAGAGTCACCTGAATTTCACATGCATGGTAAAAAGGGGCAGCTCTCACCCATTGCAGAATGTGATTGTTCTTCCCACTGTCTGTAGACCGGGGGCTGCGGCCAGTGAGCACCACAAGCATGAGCACACCGAAGCTGCACCGACAGAAAGGGGAGTGGGGAGGGGTTGGGGGGATCGAGAGCATCAGGGGTGGTGTTTTGCACTTTTCTGTGTCTGTGTAGGGGGTGGCTGCGGCCAGTGAGCACCACAAGTATGAGCACACCGAAGCTGCACCGAGAGAAAGGGGAGTGAGTGGGTTTGGGGGGATTGAAAGGACCAGGGGTGGTAATTTGCATTCTTCAGTGTTTGTTATCCGTTTAGGGTGGCTGCAGCCGGTGAGCACCACAAGCATGAGCACATCAAAGCTGCACCGATAGAGGGGGAGGGTTTGACAAAACCGGTGCGGGTGTAATCTTCACATCCCATGATTTGTATAATGTGGGCGGCTGCAGCCGGGAGGACAAGCACAAGCAGGCCGAAGTGGCAGAAAGGTGGTTGACTGAGAGATATGGAAAGCCTAACACAGGTTGGCGTCACTAGTCGCCAAAATACTGATTGAGATGAGTACTGGACATGAAGAAGAGTGGCCGTAGGAGTAGGAGGGGATGTCTTAATCCCGACTTCTGCCGCTCTTCTTCATGTCCAGTACTGATACGCCAAACTGCTGATTGAGATGTTTTCCATAAGGGTTGCACCAAGTTTGAGAACTGGCAAAAGCTCTGGGGCTGTCACAGAGGGATGTAGTGAGAAACTTAAGGAGAAACAGATTTTTGAGGCGCCTCAAAAAGGTTGTCACAGAGGGATGTAGTGAGAAACTTAAGGAGAAACAGATGGTTCAGATACAAGCTGAGGGTATGCATTCTCGAAGCAGGCTGGTTGTGACCTTGGCCAACAGTATTGGCCCCCATCACCACTGATTCAATTCAGCAAAGATGGATTCACAACCCCAGCTACGATGATGAACCCTAGTCGTGCACCCGAACTAGGTTTGGGTGCCCAGCCCTATGAAAGAAACGGACATTCATAGAAAAGAAGACAAGGAGTTAAGGTTGTACATGAGCCCCAGAGAGCACAAGGTTATACAAGAGGAGTTCGGAGCAAAAGGCCAACCTACCAACATGGACAAGTAGGCCAATCTGGGATGAGCGCCAGCCAACCCATGTGAGGTGGCTGCCCAACATGCTACAGTTGGCTGCCCAACATGCTACAGTTGGCTGCCCAACATGCTACAATTGGCTGCCCAACATGCTACAGTTGGCTGCCCAACATGCTACAGTTGGCTGCCCACTTGGGGGCCCCTTCGGTCACAGTGTGGTGCCTTGCTCATGTATACTCGAAACAGCCATGCCGCCCGCTCAGAATCCAGGTCGTCATTCATAAATTTGATGATAAACGAGCTCACCTGTACACATCAGTGGCAGTGGTGGCCTTGGATGTGCGTGAATAGACGGGATCCACATAGCCCGGTGTTCCCATCACCCGAGTAGTGCCCACAGTGGTGCCCTCGCCCAACCTCAACTGCCCAAAGTCAGCAATTTCGGCCTGCCGGATGATGGTATAACAGTGAAAAAAACAGGGGCAGCAAGCATCAAGGTTGCTGCTTGCTTTCATGTGATGACTGCTGAAGGTACATTGACTAGGACATGGTTATTGCGCTCAGCTAGCTTCTGCTCCTCACAACTCGTTATGACCTTTTCATTGACTCTTTTCCATAAGATCTATTTGTTCTGTCACAGTGCACATATGCATTGGCTTTGATAGCAGCACTGTTCTTTTATCATTTTCTTTCTCTCCTTTTTCTTTGTTTGCGCCTTGCAGTAGAGCGCCTCTTGCTTGCCTGCATGTTTTCTCCGAGGAGGATGTTGGCGGGTTTGATGTCGCGATGCACAAGGCCAAAGCTGTGGAGGTACTCAAAGCCACGTGCCGCACCAATGAGGATGTCCAGCCGCTGCTGGAAGGAGAGAGGGGAAGACGCCTCTGCACACATGCACGCAATAAGAGAGTGACAGGACATGAGGGAGGCAAATGAGGGTTGCAACATGGCAGATGCAACATGAATGAGCCACAGAGCATGAGCCACACAGGCATGAGTGACAGAACATGACATAGGCGACACAATGAGTGACACAACACAACATATGCCATATGGTTGTCATCACAAATTGACGGAAAATTGTTGAATATGGGTTCCAGATGAAGACCTGGAACGCACCCTTCTTAATATACTGGCCAAGATCGCCGTTCGGAACAAACTCGTAGATCAAGATCTGCTCTGGCCGTGTCCTCATGTCCCCTCCAACTGCAAACCCAAGCAGCCGCACGATGTTGGGATGGTTCTTGTCGGCCATTTGCTGGACCTGCGAGGAAAAACCAAGGGCAGGAACCGGATGAATCCAACGCAAAACAAGCTTCAATTGAGTTGTCACACATAGCAGGTAAGGGGCATTCCACGGCGGAATGTCGAGAAACTTACCCGAAGTGGAACTTCAGGGCTATTAAACAAGATTTGTAAGCCATCATAACAGCTCAGCTCACCTCTCGCAGGAAATCCACATGAATCACTTTGCCTCGCTTGACAGCCCATAGGGTGGCACTGTCGTGTGGACACACGCCCTTGTACACGTCACCAAAGGCACCCGAGCCAAGCTCGTTGTCAGGGGACCAGTTTTTGGTGGCTTTGACGACTTCGGATAAAGAGTACTCCGTGCATTGGGCACCTGTCATGCTTGCAGCCCGGCCTGTAAAGATTCGGAAGGGGTGAGAAATGGTAGTGTGGGGTGCAAAGAAGTGAGCTGGTTAGTGGAAGACAAGTGTTTGGTGGCCTTTAGGGCATCATTTAGAAAGTGTTCCGTGCATTAAGCTTTCGACATGCTGCGAGCTTGGACTGTGTTAGTGGGGCAAAGCACAAGGGGAGAGGGGTGAAAGAGAGGTGAAGAGTTTGCCATACTTGGTGTCAGTGTCAATATTTTTGAGGCGCCTCAAAAGTCAATATTTTTGAGGCGCCTCAAAAGTCAATATTTTTTAGGCGCCTCAAAAGTCAATATTTTTGAGGCGCCTCAAAATAGGGGTGAAAGAGAGGTGAAGAGTTCGCCCTCCTCCTCACAACTCTGTCCCTTTCTTCCTCACCCTATTGTGCTCAACAATAACCTGTCTCTATCGAGTGGCTAGGCATCTATATAGATAGATTGGAAGCGATGTTCCACTGTAGTAAGGAAACAGTGTCGAAGGAAAGAATTCTACCTAGCAAGGCCTTATTCCAGTACCCCTTGCGTGAGCTACTCATTTCTGAATGTGCAACTTCGGGCTAGACGGAACTGAATTGAAGAAGAAGGTCTTTGGATCACTACTAGCAAGTTAGTCTCTCTTCCAAAAACCTCCCTATTGTTCTGTGCCATTCTCAAGAGTCACCCACCCTACCCCTCGTGGCACCTTCTGTGCTTCTTAACAGCCTCGCAAATATTCAACATTTGTAGCGCCTGCTACACCTCACCAGTGATCCTGTTGCTGTTCGATAACCTAACATGGGCCTGACTGTGTTGAGTACACCTGCAATTTCTGTCAACGTAGACGATCTAGAAAACCAGGGTTTGTGACTCACCCTAAGAGTCGGGATTGAGAGAGTGAGGTATGGAAAGGGGGCAACAGAAGTAGAAAGAAGAAAATTCCATTTCTAGACTTCCAATTTTTTTTCCTTCCTCCTGCTTGTGAGGTTTCGGGTTTCAGAGATAGGGTTGAGGAATAATCTCAGGAATACTGTACTTGCTACACGTGCTGCCCGATCCTTGTGACCTCTCCACCACCACAGCAGCACGCCAATGCCAATGATCAGCAGCACCACAGCAGCCACAGCAATGCCGGCAATGGCTCCCACAGACAGACCGCCTCCAGACTGGGGCGGAGGCGCTTCGAGTGAGTTGGGGGTAGCTGAGGAGGAGGAGGAGGAGGAGGAGGAGGAGGAGGAGGAGGAGGAGGAGGAGGAGGAGGAGGAGGAGGAGGAGGAGGAGGACGGGGCCGCTATAGGGAGTGATGTGGAGGAGTTTGGGGCTGTTATAAAAAAGCCTCCGAAGGAAGAGGGGGGTATTGTGGTGGGTGCTGCGGAGGAGGAGGAAGGGGCGGTTGTGGGGGATGCTGGAGGTGTGGATTGGGGGGCTGTAGGTGGGGAGGGAGGCGCAGTAGTGCATGAAGAGTAGGGGGAGTGGAGACGGAAATAGCATGGGTTAGAGTTACAACACTGTGTCGATATGTTTTCAAGATGCTCCCCACGCCTTCTGACAGTCGAGCAGGGGATTGCGCTGGCGACAGGAAGGGCAGGGAGTGGAAGAGAAGAGGGAACTGTGGGGTGTGCAAGAGAGGAGGGAAGGGCAGGGAGTGGAAGAGCAGTGGGAAGGGCGCAGAAGAGGCCGGAGGGTTTAGGGCTTATGTCACATACTGGAGGAGGGGAGGTCGTGGAGGGAGGGCCGGCAGGAAGTGGAAAAGAGGCGAAACGGCATCCCAAAATTGTGATGGGCATGTTGACGAGTGGGGACATGTCCAGCCACATCTCTTACAACATTCCCTCGCTGTCACCCGCCGCATTTCATCTCCACAATCCCTCCCTCTCACCCTCTCTCACCACTTCACTCCCTCACCACATCATCCCTCCCTTCACCCATCCCTCTCACAATTCTCTCTCACCATATTCCTTCTCTTGCCACATTCCCGTTGTTTGCTACCTAAAACTCTCCCCTCTTTCTGGTTAGAATGTAAGTCTCGTACGTGGCTTTTTCTAATTTGTACAGATTAGGATCGTCCTGGCGATGTATTCAAGAGGTGACGGCTGAGGGGATGCCGCCGCCGCGCCGCGGCGCGTCGCCACGCCTTCAGCACCGCCGCGTGCCACGTCAGCATCGCAAAACAGGGGGGAGGGGATTGCGAGATGCTTGAATCTTGTTCGTATCTTCCTCGTTTTCCAGGGGTTGGGAATCATGCGAGAAAGTTGCTCGCATGATTCGTGGGAGTGTTGCTTGGGTGTTGCTTGAGGTGTGAAGTGGTGCGCGTGTTTCTGGGTGTTTGCTGTCAACTACGCAGGCTCGGCTGGTAGGTTTGGTGGCATCGATTTGTACCTCGGACAGTACAGTTACCAACTACTTGTAACAACAAGTGATGTTATTTGTAGTGCGTTTAATTTATCTTTAATTGTAACTCCGCAGGACATTTTAATTTTGCGGGTTTTTGTGGTTATGAAATTGAAAGCGTTGCTGGGCGGGTGTGGAGATTATTTTTGGGTGTTGATTATCTTTATAATAGTTCAGCGAAATTGATTTGGCATTGTTGTGCTTTGTAGTATGGATATTTTTGTTCGTGGTAAATACTGAATAAATTTGGGAATTGTCTTCTTGGAACTATTATTTTAACAATGTTGAAGTATGAAATAGAACAATACTGAATTTTATACCCATTTACTTTTACAGCATTCAGTAGGTGCTGCCAATAGTGAAATCTGCGCCTACCAGAATGACTGTGCTGGTTAAAATGGCAGGTGGCGATCCAGATGTCATCGATTTTACTCACCAGGAGTGCTGATTGGGTACATCCTTGGGTTAGCAGCCGCCTAACCCAGATGTAGCCACGCGTAGGGGTTTGGACGGTGGGGAGGCAAATTTTCGGATTTGAACAAGAGCGATTCAGGGGGTCTTCGAAGTGGGTTGCCGACATCAATTTACGAATGCCGGAGAATCGCGACGGTTGGTATTTTTGATCCAAGGGTTAAAAGTTCCCGACAAGACAAATTGGATGTCTCGGGAGTGTCAGAGTCAGATTTCGGACACGCCCTGAGATTTCCGTAGTCGATCCACTTCCGAGCAGGGTCACAGGGGTTGTGGGAACCCCGTCATTTTGTTGTGTCTGTTCCATTCTTTCCAGTTTTTTCCTATTCGCCTAGTCCGTGCTTGTCTCCGCCTTCACATGCTCCAAGTGCCTGCTCAGCACTTGGTGTATTTTCAACTTCGCAAGCACGTACATATCCGATGCGGGAAACGGGTAGTAACTACGGTAAGTTTTAGTAGCCGATGTCACTACTGCTATCGTGTTGTTGCCCGCCATCTTCGTTTCTTCCAGCGCAGTTCAATCTCATATTAGCGTAGTATTGATGTGATACATCGTACTTTTTTACAACTTCAACCGTGATCACAACCGTTTTTTTTTTGTTTCCGTCGCAGGATTTGCATCGAGCCACACAACCAGCGTTACGAAGGCCATCCCCACTCCCTCCGGCAGCTGCCTGTGTTCCGCCACCTCCGGATCAGAGCGTTTGCGCGACAACTGCGACGTTAACACCCGACGCTGTGGTAGGCTCGAAGTCATTTGTTGGTTAACTTGCTGGTGGGTTTGTTGGTTTTTTTTTTTTGGCAATTTGATTTTCCACCGTCTGCACTTTGGCGTACAATGTATATTTGTATCAGTGTCACTTGTTCTCAGTGTGGCCTTGTTCTAATGCCCCATACGTGCTCTTACACACTCTATTTGGCTTGCAGGTTCAGCTTTCAACCGGCCAACGGGTTAGCCATCGCCTTCAACAACCGCCACGCAGCAGATTCCGTACCACCCTTAACTGCAAGCGCGCTTGTCCCGCCGGTGCCCGATTTTTGACCACTAGTTTAGGTTGGAGTGGTAGTCGTCTCTGGCTGGTGCACAAGTGTGTGTACGCTGTAATTTTATAAGGATTTCTTAAATCCAACACCACCTTGTTATGGCTGACCAGGAAGGGCTGTACTCTTGTGACCAGGATGGTTGTAAAGTCACCTTCAAAACATCACTTGAGAAGGCACGTCACCTTGCTCGTGGGCAGCACGTGTATCGCGATGCAGCGGAGACTTTGTCTCAAGCTCCTGGTGGTGGTGGAGATGAGGAGTACGCAGCCAGAATTCGTGAGGCTGGTGAAGCCTTAGAAAACCAGAGTAGAAAGAGGAGACGGTCAGCAGCTGCACAGGAGGCAGATTTCGCTAGCCGACTGCTGCCTGAGGCGGATTGCGCACAACTAAATGCCGATACAACCGGATATGACTTTTCCCCGCGCGCTAACCCAACCGTGGTGGACATTGATTCTCGGCTCTTCAGATTCTGCAAAACAGCAGCGGGTGGAGTAGGAATTTCAAGAGCTGACACAAAGGAGCTGATCGACATCATCATTCAAGCTCTTGAGAATCCCGGCAAAGTGAACCTGAAGTCCTTAGCTGAATTCAGTAGGCATGAAGAGGCGAAGACGGCGGAGGCAGATCTGACAGGTTTTTTGAAGGTGGACGTGAGCAAACCTGGCGATAAAAAACCAATATACCTATATTGGAGGCCGACTATGTCATGTGTTCGTGGATTGTATCAAAATCCTGCAAATGCTGACGGTTTTGTAGTCGAGCCGGAAGATTTACCTGATAAGGCGCGTGTTATATATAAGGGTCCGGAGACAGGAACATGGTGGCGCAGTGTGCAATCCAAACTGGATGAAGGCGAAGTGATAGCGGCGGTGATTATTTATTTCGACGAGACAACACTAACGACCGATGGTGGTGTTGTTGGATGGCCTGTGTACGTTTCGCTGGCAAACATATCTTCAGCGAATCGCTGGAAATCACATGGCCACCGTTTGTGTGCTCTTCTACCAAAGATTGACAAACAGACGTTATCAAAGGCCGAGGAGACGCGGCGGCGACACGAGGTGTTTCAAGAGGCTTTACGACTAATTCTGGAAGAACAGCGCCACTTTGAGAAAGAGTAAGCTTGTTTGTTAATTTTTCACTAACGTTGCGAGTCATTTTCTGTTTTGTTTTGCTTATTGTGTTTTTTGTTGCTTTCCAATATAGTCACCTGGGCAAGGCAACTGTGCCTGTGGGCAAACTTACGCCAGTAGCGCGAAGGATTGTATGCGGAGTTTGTTGTGCGCGTCAAACTTCGCGTGCACAACTGACCCGAACGGAACTGCCGGTTTCCGATACAATCCGACTCGATAATAGTTAACTTTGACATATAATCACATTCGTGTTTTTAAACCTTGTTCATATTTTCTGGTTGTTTGTTTTTTTGTGTTTCCTTTTTTTATTAACAGAGGGGAGCTTCTGACCGATCCATACGGGGTTCAGCGCTGGGTGTATCCAGTGACATACGCGTACGTCGGCGACTATCCCGAGCAGTGTAAGGTCGCCGGTACCAAATCAGGGATGAGCACCGCCTTTCCGTGTCCAAAGTGTATGGTTCATCGAACTAAACTGAACGATATGACACAGCCCATAGTTTATAGAACTGAGGAGCAGCAAAAAAAAATAGTGAGCGAAATAGAGAGCGCGCCGAGCAAGACTAGAAGAAACGATTTGGAGGTCGAGAATAGTACGCACGGGGTCGAGTGTGCGCTATGGGGCTTTCGCTTTGCGGCGGAGGAGTTTGGAAATCTGTATAGGGCACTTATGGTCGATCTTATGCACATGAGTAGTTTAGGCGTCTACAAGCATATTTTAGGGTGTTTAAAACAGCAGTTGTCGGGCGAGGTATTGGCGAAGATGGATGCGGACCTAGAAAATATTACTGAGTTTAGTCGACAGTCGTTTTTTCCGGATCCCGGCGCATACGGACGGTTATTTCAGTGGTAACAATACATTTTACGCATTTCAGCACCAGGCGGTTATGCGGGTTCTGCCCATGCTACTAATGCGACAGAATGTGAAACGGAAGATTCTTCGGACGATCGAACTTTTTTGCCAATGGCATGCGCGCGCCTGGCACCGAGCATATCATACCGAGGATACGCTTGAAGACTTGGAGAAGATGACACGAAAGTAAGTAATTTTATTTGTAAGGGTCCTTTGGTTTTGCCAAACTGTGTTTCCTGGTCCAGTTCCAGTACTGTTCTCGTTTCCTTACAGTTGTCCCTTTAACCTCTCGTGTGAATTTACAATGACGGACTCTAAGCTGTTGTTGTTGCGCGCGTCAAATTTCCGTCGCAGCAAAGTTTTTTTTCCCGGTGATCACAACGTTTTCTCGATACAATAGCTTTCGTTTGTGAGCAACTTTGCATTCGAGGCTCATTCGCATGTGTATTCGGGTTGCTGGAAAATAGTGAATGCTCGATTTTCCCTCACTGTTTTTTTCACCGATCAGATTTCGAGTATAGACGAATATTGGTTTCCAACTATTATTTTCCGTTTTCCTCTATGTTCCATAACTTATGTGTTTGCAGACTAGTCCCTCAACTACTGGAACAATTTGGGGAGGACCAAGCGTCAGAGTTCAATATTCCCAAGGTGCACGCGATGCTGCATGTAGCGGACGACATCCGGCGTGGAGGTGTGCCGGTGCATTATTGCACGGATTTGTACGAGCATGTGCACATCGCCCTTGTCAAGCGGCCTTATCGCGGGTCCAACAAATGGAATGCGGAGGCATCGATCACCCGGCGCTGCTTGACGACCGAGTTGGTCGAGTCGATGGCTGCGAATGACGTTCCCGTCGAGGACAAGGAGGCACGGACGGTCGCCATGAAACAAGTGAGTAATTGCGTTTTTGATTGATTTGTAGTTTCTACTTGCCATTTAGGGTGTTTCTTTTGGTTTAGGGCTGTGTCTGTTCGAATTGTTTCCCGTAGGCTTGACACGCACGTCGCTCAGCCTGTTGTCTATATCTCGTTTTCGGCTGGCACGCTTCTAAATCGCATGTGTCGTTTTCGTTCATACACGTGTTTCTGGCACTTCCATGTGCACTTTTGTCATCGTGCACAAACGCGTGCGCACTTTTGCAACTACGATGACGGTGCCACGGCCAACATGGCGAAAGTGGACGCGCCCGAACATTGCCAAGTTCTCGATATCACGTAAACGACAAGCTCTGTCATTTGAACAGTCAGCCTCACCGACAAAAGTGCACGCTCGTGTGCCGTTTCGGTTTTGGTATTTGTGGTGCTGCACGTTGTCAGGCTCCGTTTTATGTCGCGATGTTGCTCCTCAACGAAAACGACACGACAGCTTGAACAGTACTGCGAGCAGATGCAAAATAGATGGGTTGGTGTACGCGATAGATGTACAGACATTGAAACGGATAAACAAAACACTAATATAGCCAACTACTCATTCCACCCTTCCCTTTGCACAGGCATTGGAGACCGGATCTCCTGCAGTCACCGGGGCTTGCGCAAAGATGGACTACACGGATAGGAAAAACAAGTTGTGGAGGTCTTACGCCGCAGCCGCTCCCGGGGATTTCAAATGCCTTGAAGACGCAGTCAAGGCATTCCAGCGCCAACAGAAGCACCCACCGCGTGCAACAGTGGAATGGGAGGTTGTTATTGATGTGCACAAGGGTGTTGCGATTCCTCCAGATGAGGATTTCACACGGTACAGCAAATATCCGTCCTATGCGCGTGCAACCCCGAGCTACTACGGGGCTCCATGGTTCTCAGACGTCTCTGTGGACGGCGTGGATGACGACGGCGAGAAGATGGTGTGGCCGGCCAAGCTCCTCATGATTTTCACACTGCATCGTACGGTCACAACGACAAGGGTGAACCCGACCACACAGAAACGGGTCACGTCTGAGCAACACTATGCTGAACAAGTGGCGTTTGTTCGTTACTACAGGAGGTATCCCCGTAGCGAAACAACGGCGTTGACCCTCATGCAATGGTGGGAAGGTGGTAGGGGATATGGACTGGTGCATGTTGAAAGCTTGCTGAGGGTACTGCATGTCGTACCTCATGTCCCATTGACCCCATCAACGGTCCAGAAATTCATTTGGAATGAGTTTAGGTGGTGATTGTACTGTACATACCTGTATGTAGGTGTTGTATCATATTTTGTGTATACACCGGACGTAGTAGAGCTACCTCTTCGCATATTTAGGTACTACATCACAAAAAATTCCATAGGAAACTTGTTTGACCTCGTTCGCCCAAGTACGCAGCTCGTGGCGCTTGTTTGTGCGTTGCATGCTTGGAATCTGTGCAAGGATGGGCCAGTGCGGAACATGTCACTGTTTCGTCGTCTGGTTGTGTTTTTTAGCTCCGTTTTATTGGACTGGTCCCTAGTAGAACCAAATACCAAGCCATAGAAACTTGAATGACCTCGTTCGCCCAAGTACGCAGCTCGTGGCGCTTGTTTGTGCGTAGCATGCTTGGAATCTGTGCAAGGATGAGCCAGTGCGGAACATGTCACCGTTTCGTCGTCTGGTTGTGTTTTTTAGCTCCGTTTTTTTGCACTGGTCCCTAGTAGAACCAAATACAAAGCCATAGAAACTTGTTTGACCTCGTTCGCCCAAGTACGCAGCTCGTGGCGCTTGTTTGTGCGTAGCATGCTTGGAATCTGTGCAAGGATGGGCCAGTGCGGAACATGTCACCGTTTCGTAATCTGGTTGTGTTTTTTAGCTCCGTTTTTTTGCACTGGTCCCTAGTAGAACCAAATACCAAGCCATAGAAACTTGAATGACCTCGTTCGCCCAAGTACGCAGCTCGTGGCGCTTGTTTGTGCGTAGCATGCTTGGAATCTGTGCAAGGATGGGCCAGTGCGGAACATGTCACCGTTTCGTCATCTGGTTGTGTTTTTTAGCTCCGTTTTTTTGCACTGGTCCCTAGTAGAACCAAATACCAAGCCATAGGAACTTGAATGACCTCGTTCGCCCAAGTACGCAGCTCGTGGCGCTTGTTTGTGCGTAGCATGCTTGGAATATGTGCAAGGATGGGCCAGTGCGGAACATGTCACCGTTTCGTCAGGTCGTTTTCCATAGTTCTCTTGTTCCACCTGAAGGCAATGCACCCAATTGCGTTTTACTTTACCACTGTTTCTTAATGAGTAAACACGGGTACTCATGAGCTTAATTCAATAGTGAGAGAAGGTGCTTTATTGGTTTTGGAAATAGCAGTTACAGTGCAACCTCGAGCTTACCTCAATATGTTCCCTTTATAATGCGTACGGAATTACACCTACACTACACGCAACGTCCTGATCATTTCCGAGGCTGTGCCTCGCTGGCGCAAGTTCACGAGGCGTGGTTGGCATCGACAACGCTGACTCGGCAGAAAGAACGGTTGTTCACTGCGCCCGAATCAGCCGTGAGGCCTATCTGTAAATCTGCCGAACCTGGCAGGCAGGCAGCATGGCGGGGACGTTGACCAGACGTCCACCAAACCACCCCGTACCCTCAAAGTGGTGCACGTTCGGGGTCTTCCCCTCCATCCCACCCTCCCCGTCCTCCTCAACACCCCCTCTACGATCCCCTTCGACAGTTCAAACTGAAGTTTGAAATTTCAAACTTCAAACACCACCCCCATTCCACCACTGCCAACTCCCTCAACCGTCCCCTCGTTACCGCCACACATATCGTTAGTGGCATCAATCGAGGCATCAAGCAGGCCCCCACCCTATCTCGTCGCAATGCGTAGGCAAGGTAAGAGTTGATCGCCCAGGCGTCAGCGTGACGGCCATTTTGTATAAATAGGCCATGTTGCTGGAGTCTTGCCATCATCTACTCCTTCACTCATTTTCGTTTAGTACTTATAGCTTGCATTAGCTAGTTATGGGCCGTGGTCAATCATTCAATGTTCCCGCCAGTATGCAGATGGCGGAACCTTTGCGCGCGTCCATTCCGCGCAAAAGCAAGGACAATCATGCATTCTTCGGCGCCAACAAAGGTAGGCGCTCTATTTGCTGTTCCAGATGTTTGGTTGTATCAACTGCTGTGTTTTAACTACCTTGTGATGTTCTCTTTTTCCAGACGGAGATACGCTGGACGCTGCCATGACTGGCGCGCGATCTGGCAAACGCGGCACCAAGCGTCAAGGCGAGCGAGCCACCGGTGTCAAACGTGCTGCGGCCGAGGGAAGGTCGTCTGCTGCCGCCGCATCACCGACTACCACTGCCAATCCTGCGCCTGTCGCTGCCCATCCTGCTCCTGCCGCTGCCGAACCTGCTCCTCTTGCTGCCGAACCTGCTCCTCCTGGTGCCGAACCTGCTCCTCTTGCTGCCGAACATGCTCCTGCCGCTGCCGATCCTGCTCCTGCCGCTACTGACACTGCGGATGCAGAGGAGGAAGAAGAGGGCGAGCTCTTCGGGGACGTCATTGCGCAACCGCTCCAGGGAAACGGCCAGCGTGGTAAGCTCTGACGCGGCGAGTTGTTCGTTTGCAAAGTATTCCGAGTACTAACCTCCGTTCTTCCGCGCCATGCTCTCTGAGCTACCGGGAATGAGTGCCCCGGAGTACAGGCGCTGCGTACGACACGACGGCAACAAAGGTAGGCGCTCTATTTGCTGTTCCAGATGTTTGGTTGTATCAACTGCTGTGTTTTAACTACCTTGTGATGTTCTCTTTTTCCAGACGGAGATACGCTGGACGCTGCCATGACTGGCGCGCGATCTGGCAAACGCGGCACCAAGCGTCAAGGCGAGCGAGCCACCGGTGTCAAACGTGCTGCGGCCGAGGGAAGGTCGTCTGCTGCCGCCGTATCACCGACTACCACTGCCAATCCTGCGCCTGTCGCTGCCCATCCTGCTCCTGCCGCTGCCGAACCTGCTCCTCTTGCTGCCGAACCTGCTCCTCCTGGTGCCGAACCTGCTCCTCTTGCTGCCGAACATGCTCCTGCCGCTGCCGATCCTGCTCCTGCCGCTACTGACACTGCGGATGCAGAGGAGGAAGAAGAGGGCGAGCTCTTCGGGGACGTCATTGCGCAACCGCTCCAGGGAAACGGCCAGCGTGGTAAGCTCTGACGCGGCGAGTTGTTCGTTTGCAAAGTATTCCGAGTACTAACCTCCGTTCTTCCGCGCCATGCAGGTCTCACCCTCTATGCCCGTACCATGAAGCAGGCGGGCGTTAATCCCAGTCCAGAGGCCGATAAGTTTCATCCCGAATCGCGCCCAAACCCGGTCAATCCGAGCCTTCGTGCGCAGGCTGCAATTGCTCGCGAAGCTGTCGAGACGCTGCAGACCGACTGCAAGACCAAGGACCTGCAGATCCTTAAAGCTCTTGGCATCGCCGGTTCTCTCGCCGATGCTGTGCTCCTGCAGAAGATTGTTAATCTTGATTTCGAGGTGAGTTGTTTCCTTTTCGCTTTGGTTGTCTGTTTCCTCTGAATCTTAACCGACGGGTGCTTTGTGTTGCTATTGCAGAGAATGATGTCGGAAACTGTCAACGATTTCCTCTTCGACGGTGACCACGTCAACATGTCGCCCAGGAGGAGTGATTTTGTACAACGCCTTGTTGGTAAGTATCAGGTTCGGTTATTTTCTGTTTTTTAGGTTGTGCGATGTGTGTTACTAACTTCCGCCCGTATCTATACCTCCCACAGCTCATGCAGGTTTCACAGCAGGCAGCGACGAGGCAACGAGGCTGGTGGCGCACATGAAAGACAAAGACATCATAAAAAAGACGGAGAAGCGGTTCAACAACCGCATTGGCAAGATCTACGGCGCCTGCAGGAGGAGCTTGCGACTGATACAGGGCGTGCGGCTGTTCGTGATTAAGCGTGCGCCAAACGGGACCATTCGAGCAGTGGAGCCGGACGACTTCGCCACCCGCTGCCATAGTTACGTGGCTGTGTACGGCAGCAGTAAGTGTTTACCAGTGCTCAAATGACTAATCTGCTTGTTGCTCTGGTAAAACCAAGTAAAATCTTGTAAAACCGTGTAGAATCTTCAAAACAGTGAAAGATCTTGTACTGAAGCTAAGACCATGTCATCTTACAGCAGCCAGCCTATCCTGTTTGTGGTTCTGTCACAGGGATGAAGGGCATAGAGTGGCATCTGCTTAACGGCCACCCCTTTTCCAGCCCAGCATTCATGGCGTGTGCGCGCCAGTTTGTGACACAGGATGACCCAGACCGCCCACTTGGGATCTATGCGTCACAGCTCCTACTCATTCTGGCAGTCGTAAGTGTTATCTCTTCTGTAGTTTAAACGTTTCTATCGTATGTGCGATCTTACACACTTGGGTTGTGTTGTCCCTTTGAGTGTAGGTTCGTTTTAAGCTTCGTCACCCCACTTGCAACAAGCTTCAGCTTGGTCGCTCTGGCGACACCCTCGCCATCTCCAGGCAAGCGCGCATTGTGCAGCGCTATATCAACAGCATGGGCCGGACTGAGGGCGAGTTCATAGGCATAGGGCGGATCTGTATTGCGCAGTGGGTGACCATCCCCCAGGAGGTTCTGGATGCGGATGTATTGGGGGATGAGGATGCGGAGGATGAGTTCGATGATGATGAGGTGGTAGATGAGGATGCTGATGGTGAATCTTGAATGCTGGGTTTTGTTTGCATTGCAATTTCATTATTTTCAGGTTTTTCTTTGTGCGTGTTTTGTTTTGATTAGATTAAAAAAGCACTGTTTATACCTCCAGAACGCATTAAAATTCGTACGTGCAGTATTTTATAATATAAAATGGTGTAGGTTTAGAGTGTACTACGGTAACCCGATTTACTGATGTAACTGTTACATTCAATGAGTAACCCGTGAGCAACAAAATCGTCGTTCCAGTCGCGAAATGATCCGTTATTATCAAACTTGATTTTGCGTAAGCGCTCAAAATGTTTTAGCGATGTTTTTCCGACTGATGTTAATTGGGGTGCTATTCGAAATTGGCGAGTCGCTCTATGGCGAGCAGTCACCCTTCGATTCACTCACAAATGTATTGCAAAATCCGGAAAAGTGGACCGAGACAAAAAAACGTACCAACTGGTTATCACGCATTTGGCTATGTACATTTCTTGCGCGCTTTGGGAAGTGCCGAGTTCGATTGTGGAGCGAAACCAGGGGTTGGGAATGATGCCGCGTGGAATGTCGAAATCAACCTGCATGTGACACGCTGTAAGTGTGTATTGCAATACGCCAATCCCAGGCATCGCGAGGTCATGGGAATGATCATTGAGGGAGCACGCACCCTGTGACTTGTCGAGCCGTACGCATTCGACGCGTGAGACCGCGTGACACGTCAGCAGCAGCAGCGCGCCGAGCTGAAGAGCTGCTGCTTGTCAGAATGAACGGACAGGAATGACTGTACTAGCACAAAGTTGGATACAAGTAGTAAACCCTAATCTAGTGTACCCCCTAAGGTGTAACCCACTACAGCCTACAATCATATAAACATATAATGTTTGACACACCCCCATAGGCGCAGTGGGAGACAACCACAGGGTCACGAGACCAGTCAAAGCAAAGGAAGGCAAGCTCAGGGTGGATCTCAAGGATTCCACACAAATTCTGAGCACAAGCTAGTGGTCACAAGACCAGTTCACATGCAGGTTTATAACAGAGCAAGAGATACAGTAATCACAACCTAGCAAGAGTAAAGATGCAGGTATAGATATATATATAGTGATCACAGTACAAGCAAAGTCAAGAGGTAAGTAAGTGAGGTCCAGTAGGCACAAGGCCCAGTAGAGTGCAGAAGCGCTGATGGTCACGAGGCTGAAGCGCCTTGGTGAACACATCAGCAGTGTTGGCCTCAGTGGCCACGTAGCGAATACAAAGCTGACCGCGCTGCTGCAGCTCACGAGCAAGGAAGTACCGCAGGGCGATGTGCTTCGTTCTGTGCTCCAGTCTGTGCTCCTCACACAAGGCAATGGCAGCCTTGTTGTCGACGTACAGTACTGGAGGAGAACGAGGCGGCTCTCCGAGGTCGGTCAGCAGGTAGGTCAGCCAGCGTAGCTCCTGGGCAGCCATGGCTGTAGCGTAGATCTCAGCCTCGCAACTGGAGCCGAGAACAGAAGAAGAGCGTGTAGAGCGCCAAGAAACTGAGCCAGAGCCAAGGCTGAAGGTGTAACCCTGAGACGACCGCTGAGTGGCCTGGTCGTCTGCCCAAGAAGCGTCTGAGTGCCCAGTGAGAACAACTCGGTCTCGCCCTCCAAGCACAAGCCCCATGCCCGACGTACTGCACAAGTAGCGCAACACCCTCTTAGCGGCATCCATGTGCTCCTTCCTGTGACGGCCAGGAGCGACATAGCGTGCAAGGATGCTAAGAGGGTATGCAAGGTCAGGTCGAGTGCAGGTCATCAGGTACATGAGGCAGCCCACAAGCTCTGGATACGGGCCACTCGGCTCTACGGACTCATCTGAAGGCAGAGCTGAGAGCGAGTGACCGGTAGGCAGAGGAGTGGACTGAGGCGAGGAGTACGTGAAGCGGAAGCGCTGGAGAACCTGCTGCACCATGTGTGACTGAGTCAGGGTGATGGTGCGCCGTGCTCTGTCCCGGGTGATCCGCAAGCCAAGGTAGCTTGTCAGCTCACCCAGGTCTGTGCACGTGTGTCTCCTCTGCAGCTCCGACTTCACGTAGGCGAGTCCTGCAGTGTCAGCAGTGGCAAAGACCAAGTCGTCGACGTACACGAGGATGTAGAACGGCGGCAGCGAAGTGTCGGTGCGCAGGAACAGCGACGGGTCAGCAGTAGAAGGCGCGAACCCAAGAGCCGCAAGTGTAGTCCTCAGTGTGTCGTGCCACTCACGCGGAGCCTGGCGGAGACCGTAGACCGGCCGCTGAAGCCTCCACTGGGTACCAGGAGGAAACGACCCAGTGAAGCCAGGTGGGCGGCGCAGCCAGATCTCCTCGTGCAGGCTGCCCTGCAAGAAAGCAGTGCTGAAGTCAAGTGAGTGAAGCTCGTAGTCGCGGTGAGCGGCTATGTGCAGCAGCACCCGAAGAGTAGTCATCTTCGGGGTGGGGGAGAAGGTATGGAAGAAGTCAACTCCTTCTCGCTGACTGAAGCCTCGAGCCACGTAACGCGCCTTGAAGACAGGCGGAGAATCCGGCGGCCGCTTCACCCTGAAAATCCACATGCCACTGACGATGTTCGCCCCAGGAGGGGGAACCTCGTCGACGTAGGTGCGTGTGGACTTCCAGGAAGCCATCTCGGCGTCCATGGCTGTCTGCCACTGAGAGGAGTAGGGACCCGCCATCGCCTCAGCGTAAGTGCGCGGGGTCGGGATGTCTGGTGCATCCGGGTCTCCCTCAGGGGCAACTAGCAAGGACACGAGACGGGGTAAAGCAGCAGCAAGACACTGGAACTCCTCCTGTCTGTCCTCAAGGACGTCCGTGCCAAGAGCACACTCACCCCCGACGGACGGAGGACAGACAGACTCAGACTCAGACTCAGCAACAAGGCTAGCAGCGTAGTCTAGACGACAGGCAGCAGCAAAGTCAACCAACTCAGCGACCAGAGCAGACGCAGTCGAGGACTCAAAGGTAGGGTCAGTGACAACAGTAGCGAGGAGACGCGTGACAGTAGGGTGCTCAGCACGGTACCGGTCAGACTCAGGGTCCGGAACGTGAGGCAAAGAGGACGCAGGAGGAGACGGTAGAGGGACACGCTGAGGAGCAGTAGAGGGACGCAGAGTCATGTAGTGAGTGCCTGGGACAGGAGGAGGACGCTCACGACGGACACGACTACCAGTGCGAGCAGGACGAACAGGCGACGCAGGACGAGACTCAGGCTCACGACGCTCTGTAAGACCTCCTGTGGGACCAGTGTAAGGAGAGGGAGCAGGGAGAGGCGAGGTAGGCGGTAACTGTGACTGCGGCTGGACAGGCGGAGGACACTCTACGGAGGGAGGAGGAAAAGGAGGAGGAGCCTGCCCAAGAACCTGCTGAAGGAGCGGTACGAAGTACGGTCGCGGCCGCGCAGCGTCTCCAGAAGCAGAGGAGACTCCAGCGGCCGGGTCCACAGCACCAGCAGCAGCTCCACCGGCCGGGTCCTCAGCACCAGCAGTAGCTCCAACGCCCGGGTCCTCAGCAGCAGCAGCAGCGCCACCGCTCGGGTCCTCAGCTCCAGCAGCAGCTCCACCGTCCGAGTCCTCAGTACCAGCAGCAGCTCCACCGTCCGGGTCCTCAGCACCAGCAGCAGCGCCACCACCCGGGTCCTCAGCTCCAGCAGCAGCTCCAACGTCCGAGTCCTCAGCACCAGTTGTAGCTCCACCAGGTGGGTCCGCAGCACCAGCAGCAGCTCCCACGTCCGGGTCCTCAGCACCAGCAGCAGCGCCACCCCCAGGGTCCGCAGCACCAGGAGCACCACTCCGAAGACTGCAGCGCCGTGTGTACTGTCAGAATATTATGCTCTAGCCTGCAGTGGGGTGCTCTATAGCGAGTACAACCCTTCTAGGGTTAGCTATTTGTACCACCATTGTTGCTAGTGCAAACCTCTCCTTTCTTCATTCTTACTTTCTACAACTAACTTTAACATGCTATCAGAGCAGGTCGACCCTCCTGGGTCGATCCTGTGGGTGGGCCCACCACCTAATGCTTCCGCTGCTTTACTTCCTGCCGGGCGCCTCGGGCGCGCGACGACTTCTTCCTGCCGCGAATTTTTTCTAGGGTTTCGGCGGTTTTCATCCCGCCGTGCGCTCGGGGCGCGCGGCGGTTTTCTGCACGCCGTGCGCCCCGAGGCGCGCGGCGGTTTCCCACCGTCGAAGTGCCCCCCGTCGCCCGTCGAAGCGCCCTCCCCCCGTCGCCCGCCAAAACGCCCCCGTCGCCCGTCGAAGCGCCCCTGGGGCCCGCGCGCGGCCCGTACGGGCTGCGCCAGGCCCGCGCGCGGCCCGTACGGGCTGCGCCAGGCCCGCGCGCGGCCCGTACGGGCTGCGCCAGGCCCGCGCGCGGCCCGTACGGGCTGCGCCAGGCCAGCGCGCGGCGCGGGCAGCCTGCGCGCGCCTCGTCCGTCCCCCTCTCGCCGTCCCCCGCGCTCCTGCCCCTATCCCACCCGTTTTAGGGTTTGGGGATGTAGAGTGTGGGGGTGGCGGGTGTGGGGGTGCCGGTTGTGTGCCCCGTCCCCTCCTTCTCCTCCTCCTCCGTCTCCCGCTGCTGCAGCTGCCGCTCAGGGGGGTGGTTGTGTGGGGAGCCGAAGGAGTGGTCCTAGGGGGGTGAAGGGGGAGTGGAGCTAGGGGCGCAGCAGGGGGTGTGTGTCGAGGGGTGTGGGACTGTTGGGGGAGGTTGAGCGGAGGTTGCCGTCGTGTCGTACGCAGCGCCTGTACTCCGGGGCACTCATTCCCGGTAGCTCAGAGAGCCGGTTGCGCCGTCGCCTGTGGGTCCGTTGCTCCTGCCGCGCATATTAGCCGCGGAGCCTGTTACTCCTGTACTCCGGGGCACTCATTCCCGGTAGCCACGTTGTCGCACCAGAGCCGTCTGTTGCCCGTGTGTCTGCATCTTCAGTATTCGCCTCCTATCTACTCTCCTCTCACCAGCCCTCCTCCTCCTCACTTGCCCCCTGTGACTGCCTCTAGCTTTGCTCATAATTGTGAACCTTAAACTATTGCTTCTTGCTTGTGCTCAGAATGTGTGGTGACATCGTGATCCACCCTGAGCTTGTACTACTTTGCTTGCTCTGCTGATTACACCCCACTTTGACTATGGGGGTGTGTCAGAATATTATGCTCTAGCCTGCAGTGGGGTGCTCTATAGCGAGTACAACCCTTCTAGGGTTAGCTATTTGTACCACCATTGTTGCTAGTGCAAACCTCTCCTTTCTTCATTCTTACTTTCTACAGCTAAATTTAACATGTACCACTCGCGGATCTGCTGAATGGGGGGGAGCTCCTGGGTAGGAGGGGAAGTACCGGGACGAGCTCCAGCAGCACCTCTCCGGAGGCGGCAGTACTCGAGGTACCTCTCCTGCAGCTGCTGGGAGGAGAGGGCTCCTCCAGGTGTAGCACGCTCAGGCTCAGCACCCCCAGACGCAGCACCCCCAGACCCAGCACCCCCAGGCTCAGCACCTCCAGGCTCCGCACCTCCAGGCTCCGCACCTCCTGGCTCAGCACCCCCAGGCTCCGCACCCCCAGACTCAGCACTCCCAGGCTCAGCACCCCCAGACGCAGCACCCCCAGGCTCAGCACCCCCAGACGCAGCACCCCCAGGCTCAGCACCCCCAGGCTCAGCACCCCCAGACTCAGCACCCCTAGACGCAGGACGAGAGTCAACAGCTACCTCGACAGGCTCACCCGGGTCTACCTGGGACACACCTGAGGGAGCGGCACCCTGAGGGGGGAGGGGGTCTGGGACCTCAGCACCTGGAGCGAGGAAGAGAGGCGGGGGGGGGAGCGGGGCAGTGCGGTAGGGGAAGAGGCGGTAGTAGGGGACGGACTCGTCAAAAGTGACGTCCTGAGAGGCCAGGACACGCCGCGAGGTGGGGTGGTAGAACTGCCAACCAGGGGCGTCCGGGACAAAGCCAAGGAAGACGCAGGGGACAGCGCGACGGGAGAGCTTGTCCGCGGACGTGTCGCGGACAAAAGCTCGGGATCCCCAGACCCGAAAACGCGACGCATCGCCAGCCTCTCCCGTCCAACGCAGTGTCGGAGAAGTCTCGGGCAAGGAGACACGGGGCCAGAGGTTGAGCTGATGCGCAGCGTATCGGACTGCAAACGGCCACAGAAAGTGGGGGGCAGCCGCATGAACCAAGGAGGTACGAGCGACCTCCATGACCAAGCCAATGCGGCGCTCAGCAACCCCATTCTGCTGTGGAGAGGCCGGAAGCGTGAACGACTGCTCAATGCCCTCCTGCTGACAGAAGGCCTCCAAGAGGCCAGAGGAAAACTCTCCACCTCTGTCAGAGTGCAGACGCAGGACAGGGAAGTCGGAGTGGAAACGCTCACTGAGCTGGAGACGAGATCTGCGGATCCAAGGGATCAAGACATCAGGGACGTCACCCTTGGTGCGCAAGGGGAAGACCGTGGTGTAGCGCGAGAAGTCGTCAACAACAATCAGGAAGTACCTCTCCTGACCCTGGCCACGGACGCGGGCTGGGCCCCACACGTCCATGTGGAGCGTCTGCAAAGGAGCAGTCGTCGGGGGAAAGGAGGAGGAGTGAGGAGCGGCGCGCTGCCGCCCCTCGACACAGGGAAGACAGGGAGGAGCAGGCGAGGCTGGAAGGGGAGGGAGCACCCTGGGAAGACCAGCAACAAGGTCCCGTTTGTGCATGGCCCGAAGGCGCTGCACAGACGGGTGACCAAGGCGGTGGTGCCAAAGGACAGTCTCATGCGCCAGAGAGCGACACGAGCAGGGGGCGGACAGCTGACCTGACGCAGACGCAGACGCGGACGCAGCTACCTGAGGGGACTCAGTGGTCAGTGTGTAAAGGTCCGACCCCGGCTCCCGAGTGAAGGTAGCCAGGTGGCGACCCGTCCGAGCACACGTGCAGTGTGTCACGCGCTCGTAGGCAGGGGTGAACTGGTGAACACCCCCGTCCTGGAGCGCACTACCTGCCACCAAGTTCGTAGAGAACGAGGGGAGGTAGAGACCTGACAGCGTGCCGGACGGGACCGCCGGACAAGGAAGGACAGTGGAGGAGGTCGCAATGACCGGACCCCCAGAGGGGTCAGCAAGGGAGACAGCAACTGGCCGAGCGAGTGGCTCAAGGACAGTGCGGTCACGAAAGAAAGAGCGAGAAGCACCTGAGTCCAGGGTGAAGGTGTGCAGTGCTGCAGTCGACTCAGTACCAGGGGGCACGGACGCACGAGCACCTAGGGCTGCAGCCCCACCAGGACCTGTGGGAGGAGACGCACTAGCACCTAGAGCGGCAGCCGGACTGGCCTGAATACCCGGGTCGGGCGGAACACGCAAGTACTGAGCACCCTCTCCACTAATAGACATCGCATACATGGCAGTGAGAATAGCATCAAAGTCTAAAGCCCAAATATCAACACCCCTCTTTTCCAGATCAGCCCAGCGCGGCAGCTCAGTGGCAGCAGGAAACTGAGTGCGCCACGCGTCATTAAGGCGTGCGAAGCAGCGCTGCGTGGGGTGCGGCCTCCCACACTGCTGGCCGCTGCGGTCACCTGTGCGAATGACGTACGTGCAGGTAAAGCTACGCTGCGCATACCACTCACGGGCGGCCTGAAGCGTCGGGGCGGGCTGCTGACTCTGCCCTCCGCCAGTGCCTCCACGACCACCACCCCCACCGCCGCCGCCCCGGCCACCTCCACCCCTGCCGCCGCCACGACCACCTCCGCCTCCGCTGCCGCCTCCACCACCACTCCCACCGCTGCTGTCTCCTCCCCCACTGCCGCCACTAGTCTCCCCAGCCGCGCCTCCACTCCCACCGCCTCCACCCCCACCTCCTCCGCCGCCACCCCCACCCCTGCCCCCCTTGTTCCTGCGGCGCCCACTCGAAGCAGACGCGGTCCCGACCTTCTCAGCACCAAGAAGGTCGACAGCAGCAGCAGAGGCGACAGAGGGGAGGAGGGGGGAAGGGGAACACCCCTCAAAGAAAGGGGTGCGGGGGTCGCCACGAGAGGTGCCTACAGCGACGATGCTCGCCTCAGCTGCAAGCAGTTCCTTCTCGAGGAGGGCAACAGTGAGCTCAGTGGGGGAGCGAGAGAGGAAGTGGTCCCTGACTGCGCGCAGAGAGTCAGGAAGGCGGGTGACGATGTGGTAGAGAGTGATCCAGAGCGGGGGGGGGTTGCTAGTGAGAAACTCGGCAGGCATAGCAGCGCAAAAGCGGGCCTCACTAGTCTTAAGGTGGGTGATGAGGTCTGCGACAGTGTGAAAGGAGGCTAGGTCGGGGAACAGGTAGGGGAGAGTGAGGCGGCCTAGCGTGGCAGAAGCGGGCGAGGAGTAGCGGGCAACTACAGCGGTGTAGAGGTCCTTAGCAGTCTTGCACTGGCCGAAGTGCTCGCGCTCGTCTAGCGGCAGGGAGTTGCGAATAGCAAAGCGAGCGTGCGCATCACGGGTCTGCCACTGGGAACGCAGAGTGCTGTCAGCAGTCGAGTCAGGGGCAGTGGCATGGCCTAGGGCGTGGTCGTACAGTGAGATATCTTCCTTGGCAGTGAGCTGTAGGAACAGGTGCAGGTCATCTAGCCAGGTTTCGAACTTCACTGGACGGCCCTCGGCATCGAAAGCTAGAACTGGCGGGCTAGCCATAGTGACAGTAGCAGTAGTAACAGTAGTAGTAGGAATCAGGCCGCTGAAAAGGTGTGCGGAGGGTCAACGGGGCCGGCGGGGCCGCTAGGCAAGGCGCGGGCGGGGTCGACTGTCCGTAGTGGCACACGAGCGGCAGTAGTAGGTAGCGTGGCAGCAGGAGCTGCAACGGTGCACTGGTGGCAGCTGCAGTGGCAGCAGTGTGCGCGGTAGGTAGAAGATAAACAACAGTGAGAGCGAGTGCCTCGCGGGCGGCGGCTGCAGAAGCGCACGGGCGGCAGCGGCGCACTGGGAACGGCGGTGCACGGGCAGCGGCAGCGCACGGGCAGCGGCAGCGTAGGAGCAGCGACGGCGCACGGGCAGCGGCGGCGCACAGGCAGCGGCGGCGCTCGGGAGGCAGCAGTGCGCAAGCAGCAGCGGAAGCAGCGGCGTACGAGCGGCTGCGGGCAGCGGGGCGTGCGCTAGCAGGCGACGGGCGGCTGCGGGGCGTGCGCGAGCAGGCGACGGGCGGCTGCGGGGCGTGCGCGAGCAGGCGACGGGCGGCTGCGGGCGGGCGGCCGCTGCGACAGCGGGCTGCGGGCCTGCGGGACGTGCGCGAGCAGGCGACGGGCGGCTGCGGGGCGTGCGCGAGCAGGCTACGAGCGGCTGCGGGGCGTGCGCTAGCAGGCGACGGGCGGCTGCGGGGCGTGCGCGAGCAGGCGACGGGCGGCTGCGGGGCGTGCGCGAGCAGGCGACGGGCGGCTGCGGGGCGCGCGTGAGCAGGCGATCGGCCGCGCGCGAGGGAAATAAGGCGCGCGCGGGAAAAAAAAAAAAAAAAAAAAAAAAAACGACCGCGCGCGAGCGGCTAAGGGGCGGCGCGACGGGGCCTTAAGGGGCGGGTCGCGGGTCGCGGGAGGTAGGGGCCGTAAAAAAAAGTTCGAGGCGCCCTAGGTAGGTAGGTAGGTAGGGAACGGTGGGCCCTTAAAAAAAAACGGTCCTAGCGAAGGACCTGCTCTGAAACCATGTCAGAATGAACGGACAGGAATGACTGTACTAGCACAAAGTTGGATACAAGTAGTAAACCCTAATCTAGTGTACCCCCTAAGGTGTAACCCACTACAGCCTACAATCATATAAACATATAATGTTTGACACTGCTGGCTTCATCATGCCGCGACGCCGGTTGCGGCAGTCGCAGAGGTCCTCCGTAGAAACTTTCTAGCCTAGAAAAAAATCAAATGCCGAAAAGGGTTCGAAATTGAGGGATACCTCGGAGCAGGTGGCTTTGACTCGCATCTGAAAATAGGAATGCGTTGAGTGATCTGCGACCTGCTCAGAGCGAGGATTTTGAGGTTTTAGGTCGTTGTAAACGGTAACCAAACACTACTACATTGCAAGGAGCAGGAATGGCAAAACATCCATAACTATTCTGGCACCGATGAGGCGTTGGCGTATCGCCTTGCTCAGAGCGAGGGCTTGGTTTGGGGGTGCATGGATTCGAATAGTGTTGTTGGAAGTGGTGGTGATTTGTGTGGGTGGTGGTTGGCGGGGGGAAATCTTTCCAGGAGTGGTGTAATTTTGTGTGTGGTTGTGGGCAGTTTGCGGTTGACTGGGCGGCAGCGCCGCCGCTGTGTGCAATGCAATGGCGAAGGCGAGTGAAATTGTTCGCTTTTTTACAGATGATGCTCGTTTGACTAACCCAAGGTTGCCTTGTGAAGGGGGCTCTTAAGTGATTCTTGCATTTCGCTAAGCTTTCGTCAATTCGCACTTAGCAAAAAGGGCTTATAAAAAGTTTTGTAACTCGCCGTTGACTTTTTGACTTCGGTCTCTTCGGTCAAGCTTCGTTTTTTGTGGTTCGTATTGGTTCAAATCACTGCAACTTGCTCGAGGTGCTTGTAAAGGGGGTGCAACTGGCTGGCCCCAAATACACGCGTGCAGAGTTTCTGGCGCGTGCAGGGCAAATTCGAGCGCAGCGGTTGAGCAACATGTGTATTGACGTTTTAGGGTTTTTGAGCGAAATTGTTCGCTTTTTTACTGTAGCTGTCTTCTTGGGTTTCCCTTTGTCCATCAATGCCTGCCCAGCGTGGTGACTTGGCTTGCGATTGGACATTCTGATTACCCATCCACTCGCTATTGGACACATGTCTTGTCCGTTACCTCCACCACGGGGTTAATACAGTAGTACAGTAGTCGAGTGGTCCTTTGTTCTGCCAAGGATGACTCGTCAGAATCTCGAAACTGGAAACCGGATCAGGATCTGGCCGCCAAGGTCTTGCCAAAACGAACTACTCCCACCTCCAGGTTCCTCATCATTTCGCTACAAAACAACAGTCCCGAACTGCTTACAGTGTAACGCGCAAATTGGTATAACCAACTTGTTCTCCTTTTCGCCTGTGTAACCAGTCTGTTATCATTTTCGCCTTAAATTCGGCAACAGCTTCGAAGTGGTTACGACTGAGCATTGTCGAGTTACTGGATCGAATTCGAGTTAGTGGCAAATTTGAAATCGGGCCTTGAAAGCGATGAATTGGCGGCATTTGTCGCGGCGTATCACGTGAAAAAACGTCACGAATTTTGTCGTTGCGAGTTGGAAGTTTGTCGGATGTTGCGTGCGGCTAAAAATGACTGCTGCGAAACTGTCGAAATCGATAGAAATCGTATCATGAAAATCAGGAACTCGGAAAGTGTACACGTCTTCGAGGCGGTACAGATGTTCTAGGTTAGAGGCCCTCATTGAAAGAATCCCTTTTCCCAACTGAGTAGAATTTTCCGATATCGCCTAGGTTTGGCCTGACCTCTATAGTCCTTTTTTGGCGGGAAATTTTGCATCTTGACTGAATCATTGCACGAATCAGCTCCGCAGCCAATCAGAGGGCCCAGATCGAACTTTACCAACATTTAGGGAAAATGATGACTAAGGGACCATCGGTTAGATTTTTACTTCTTAATTGAAAATAATTGTTTCTCATGACCGTGCTTTCTTCTCAATCCTGTCGCGCGGTCCTTAGCGTGCTCGATGATGACATCGAATTTATCTCGCTTACAGGGTAAAACAAAAGTTTTTATCTTCTAGTCATGCCCTTGTCAAACATTGCATGTTTATATTGTCTAGGCTGTAGTGGGTTACACCTTAGGGGGTACACAAAGTTAGGGTTTACTACTTGTACCAAACTCTGTTCTAGTTCATTCATTCCTGCTCAGTTATTTCTGACATGGTTTCAGAGCATTTCCTTCGCTAGGACTGTTCTTAGGGCCCACCGACTTACCTACCTGCTTACCTTCGCTTGTTTCCGGCCCCGCTGGCCCCGTCGATCTAGCAAGATCTAGCGGCCCTGCGGCCCCGTCGAATTTTTTTTTTTAGCGGCCTCTCACGGCCCCCGTCGCGTCGCCCCTTAGCGCCCCGATCGGCCCCGTCACGCCGCCCGCGAACCGCACAGCGCGCCGCGCTCACAGCCCGCGACCCGCCTGCGCAGCCCGCGACCAGCCCGCGCAGCCCGCGCACAGCCCGCGAACTGCCCGCGAGCAGCCCGCGACCTGCCCGCGAACCCCCGCGAGCCGCCCGCGACCCGCTTACGCAGCCCGCGAGCAGCCCGCGCAGCCCGCGCTGAGCCTGCGCGGCTCGTGCGCTGACCGCCGCCGGCCCGCACGCTGCCCGCACTGCTCCCGGCCCGCCGCTGCTGAGCCCGCAGCCGCCCGCGCACCGCCGCTGCTGAGCCCGCCGCCGCCCGCGCACCGCCGCTGCTGAGCTCGCCGCCGCCCGCGCACCGCCGCTGCTGCGCCCGCTGCCGCCCGCGTATCACCGCTGCTGAGCCCGCCCCTGCTGCGCCGGCTCTCGCTGCCGCCTGCTGCGCCTGTGCACCACTGCAGATCCTACTACTACACTTCCTGCTACTGCTGCTTGTGCGCCACTACAGTCTGTAGGCCCCACCGGCCCTGCTGACCCTGCGCACGCCTGTTCAGTGACTTTACTGCTTCTACTACTGCCGCTGTCGCTATGGCTAGTCCTCCTGTTCTAGCTTTCGACGCCGAGGGCCGTCCGGTCAAATTCGAAACCTGGCTAGATGATCTGCACCTTTTCCTACAGCTCACTGCCAAGGAAGATATTACACTGTACGACCACGCTCTCGGCCATGCGACCGCCCCACTCGCTACTGCCCCCCCAACTGAGCGCTCACAGTGGCAGACCCGTGACGCACACGCTCGCTTTGCTATTCGCAACTCCCTGCCGCTAGATGAGCGCGAGCACTTCGGCCAGTGCAAGACTGCTAAGGACCTCTACACAGCTGTAGTGGCCCGCTACTCCTCACCCGCTTCTGCCACACTAGGCCGCCTCACTCTCCCCTACCTGTTCCCCGACCTAGCCTCTTTTCACACTGTCGCAGACCTCATCACCCACCTTAAGACTAGTGAGGCTCGCTTTCGCGCTGCCATGCCTGATGAGTTCCTCGCTAGCAACCCCCCCCCGCTCTGGATCACTCTCTACCACGTTGTCACCCGCCTCCCTGACTCTCTGCGCCCTGTCAGGGACCAGTTCCTCTCTCGCTCCCCCACTGAACTCACCATAGCCCTCCTCGAGAAGGAACTGCTTGCAGCCGAGGCTAGTATCGTCGCTGTAGGCACCTCTCGTGGCGACCCCCGCGGCCCCTTCTTCGAGGGGTGCTCCCCTTCCCCCCTCCTCCCCTCTGTCGCCTCTGCTGCTGCTGTCGACCTCCTTGGTGCTGAGAAGGTCGGGGCTGCGTCTGCTTCAGGCGGACGACGCAGGGGCAGGAGTGGCAGGAGTGGGGGTGGTGGCGGAGGAGGCGGGGGTGGAGGTGGTGGCGGTGGAGGTGCGACTGGAGAGGCTAGTGGCGGCGGTGGTGGAGGTGACAGCGGTGTTGGGAGTGGTGACAGGGGCGGAGGTGGCAGCGGAGGCGGAGGTGGTCGTGGCAGCGGCAGGGGTGGAGGTGGCCGGGGCGGAGGCGGAGGGGGTGGTGGTCGTGGAGGCCCGGCGGGCGGTCAGAGTCAGCAGCCTGCCCCGACCCTTC